CTTATTCATATCAAATATATATTAAATAAAATGGATGTAAACTAAAACATTAAACTAAAAGATACGAAATCGCTATAGCCAAAAACTGGGGGAACGTGTCCCTAACCAAATCCCCCTGTGGCCCTGTAAGGGGTAAGGATTTGAATGTAAATGCCCGTAGTGTAAAGGGGAATATTGAGTAGATCAGTTTGGGAAGAAAGGATGGAAATATTTGTAATATATAGAAAAAGCGTAAATATTCTTTTTCGCTCCAATTTCTCCATGAAAATATTTCTATATTTACCGGAATTACAGGAAAAATACATTTCTGTGTTTCAGAAAAATTCTCTCTCTAAATTTCAGTGCTTTAGGCGAAAATTTTAGGCTAAATACACTTGAGACTTAGGTTTGTGTCTTGTTATAGAAATTTGAATGAAAGTGCTCTGCATTTTGTTCTACAGGCACACAGTGGTTCACATGCTATTGTACTGAAAAGATCCCACTTCGCAAGATTTCGGTTGGGACCGATGCAGTTCTGGCTTTGGATGATAAAGGTATTAGAAATTACAACTTTTATCCACTTGCAGCTCGAAGAATATTATGAATAATTTTTTTTTATATCATGCTGTATAATTGTATTTATAGGGTATAAAATCATGTCTTAGTTTTGTTGATTACAAGCGATTTTTGACGTTTCGAGATTTGAAGATGGCTTTGTTAAATACAAACATATTCAAGGATCGAATGCGTGAAGTTATAAAATAAATACCCAGTTGTAGATTTAAAAACGGCCAGTCAGTGACCACGTGATATGTTCTAGGGTTACCAAATCAGTGATACATGCCATATCATGCTCTGATGATTTTCAGACGAAAAGGTTTTACGTGGCTACATTTTTTTTTTGTCAATATCGTTTCTTATTTACAGGTAAGTTATGGCGACGGAAAGGAATAACAGCTACCTTTCCTGAAGGTACAGAATGGATTGAGTGCATGGACAGATTTCAAGATGTTTCTATTGGATATAGAAATAATGTAGGTAGTCTACCGTTTATGAATATAATGAGAGGGTGTCTTATGGTATTTTAATTAAATGTGAAAGTCTATGAATTACAGGATGAACTTTAAATTGTAAACAGAACTTTAAAGAAAGGGCCATTTTTATGCAGATTTGTCGAGTGGCTTCTTGGCCGGGTAATTGGCAGTTTATAGTGCCTTTTTTGCCATAAGCAGTTGAGGAAGCGCACAAAATTTGAATTTTTAACTTTAGATTGATGACATACATAACCGATTGTTCGTTTAGCTGGTCATTATCATTTGTTGAAATGTCAAAAACAGTTGTTCTTTGCTTTGTATTACATAACTGTAATTCATCTGGTTATTTTGAACGATGTTGTTGAACCCCCTTAAAAATTCATCTCAAAAACGAGGAGTTTTTTACCATCTAAGGGTGGTTTTTCGAAGAATTTTCAAACTTGTTGGCTAATAAAGGATGCTCATTCACTTTATTGGCAAATGAGACCTGGACACTCGCCCAAAAGCACACTAGCAATGTGGCGGTTTGAATAACAATATTCTAAAATCAAGCCCAATTCCATAAGAAATTAAGGAATAATGGATGAAGCGAAGCAGAAAGTAGTTTATTTGAGTTGCCTTGTTAAACTGAATTGCCTGAGTTTTGTGAGTAGTAACTTAGAACCGTCCTGTTCTATTGAACCTCCCAAGATAGCTTGTACAGCTCTGCCTTTTGAGCACTTTATGGCAGACCAGTAAACAGTAATTTTCAAAATTATCATCGATTTGTAAGGAACGTTAGCACATTGCAGCAACAAGCTCTTTGGATTCAGGATTGTATCTCTTTAGAGATTAGCAAATTACCTTTGTGAATCTTGTTTAATCTTTGCAGACATGGATTGTTCGAAACAAAGATATCGAGATATGCATTAAGAAAGATCATGAGAATCCAGCAGAATCTGGTGTGATATGTGTTTTATCCGTAAGTCAGCATTCATAATTCAACATCTATCATTCTTTCATCAATTTTAAGTAAATGATGTTCAGTAATCTGTATATGCGATTCGGGCAGCAAAGATTTAATATTAAAATAGAAGCACGTTCTAACTACAATACAACCTTTCCAACAAGCTAAAAAGATTTCGTTTTTCTTTCATTTTTCTAATTCAAACCGCTTATTTATCAGTTTTCTTTGATTCAGTTGTTTCTGATAAACTTCTGAATCTTTTTATTTGAGACACAGAATAGAGATCTCAGTCTTAAGACTAATACAATTTACGTAAATAGCTTTCCTTTGATTTTCATGGACTGAATGGCGAACTCCTTTGTTTTTGGTTCAGTAAATGAAATCTTTATCTTCAGATCGTTTTGAGAATGCAAGAATATAAATTAATACGATTCTTATATTTAAAGCAATCTCTTTTCGTGGCACTGAATCTATTCAAGTGCATTGCAGCTCTCCAAAAATAATACCTATTATATGAACAGATCTACCTCATTATTTTCGAAAGATGGTCCCAACATTGATTCTTTCGGTACACCCCCCAGTGTCACGAGAATGCACACAAATTTGTCTAGCTTATCAGAATGGTTTTAGCAAACAGTTTCTGGTATTTATACCAAGATTTCCATGTTGTGCACTGTTTTTAGGTAGGCATGGCTTTTTTTGCAAAAAATTTCGAAATGATTTGTGCTGGTCCTTGTTTTAGCAAAGGCGAATCTTCAATAGCCATAAATTGATCATCCTTTTATGACGCATTCAAATTGGCTTTTGGCATCAAAACATTTTTGACTTGAGGACTAATAATAGAAGTAATTACATTTTGAACAGAACAACGGAACGAGATGAACTGATAAAAATATTTGGTGTATTAATACTAAATTAATTATTAATTACTACTTTGGTTATAATGTAAATTTATTTCGTAAGAATGGTGATGAAGGTCTGTTGATAGCGAGTTTGATAAAATCAAGAAGCTTTTTGCGGAATGGCTGTTTATATATAAAACAAACTCGCATTTGCAGGATCTCTTTGGCCCAGGCGAAAGTGAACGAATTGTGCGAAGTCTGGCTTACACGTATGAAAAATTGAAATGAAAACACCAGATAGTAAAATTGAAAGATGAAATTAAGAAACCGTATCACGGACAACTGACTAACAATTTATACAATCAGCTCTATTTTGGATAGAATAGTTATGTCATTAATATATAGTAACGGAACAGTATCTCAAATGTCACGGGTGTGTTTCTCAAGAGAGTTGTTGAGTTGAAGATATGTAAGCTGGTTTGTTGCGTCTCCGACTAATATAGCGATGATATCATGATAATATCTAGATGAATTCAGAGTTCTTAAAACGCCTCAACCTTCCCCCGGGATGATTTTTTGCACTATTTACTTTCCTCAAAATTTTCCTTGTGTGCTTTGAGTAAAGGTTTCTTAGAAATGGAATTTAAGTAAGGAAAAAGAAAGTCCTTTGTCAGGAAAAAGAAAAGTTCAAGTACAACAGTTAATTCTTCTCACTTTATATATCTTCGTGAAGTTATACATGGCCTTCTTCAAATCTACTGTATCGCTGAATAATAACCTTCCTCCGGCTCACAGCCGTGGAACCGTCATGTTTTCTGGACTTTGGATAAATTCTAGGATTGTAGCTAAGTTAAGTTAAGTTCAGTTAAGTTACCATAACAGATTTGATACTGCTAAAAGCTTATTCATTGTCATCAAACAACATTTGAACTGTTCTGTTTGCAAAGACAAGTAACAGTAACAGGTATTTGATAATCATGGATCTGACAGGGATATCAAGATCTTGTGATATTTTCCTTGATATTTTTTGTTTTTAAACCAAATTCAACCTAGTGCAGTAACCCGATCATCTGCTGACTTTTTTACCATTCGACAATTTTACTTTTACTTGCGATTTTATATTTTTAGTCCGAGTTTAGTATATTCTTTTGTACTGAGGTCATAAACAATCTATCGTGACAAAAATGGTTTTGAAAACAGTGACAATTGTTATTACAATGTCAATGACAATCCTACCGCCTACTGCAGACTACACATCATATATTTTAGAAGCTGCTGATTCTTTCTGGCTTCTTTACAGCCACAGGCAACACCATGTTTTCGCAAACCATCCAACGACAAACTTTCACGGTCAAGCTTGCGGACAAACCAGAAGATTGTTCAAGTTCAACGTTATTTACGATCAATTTGTAATCAAATTCAAGGTCGCTTTTGCTTTCGTTTTAGTTTTGGCGTTTCGGCTAGATTTGTATTCGATCCCCAAATCTAGTTAGTTTGTTTGCATGCATTTGTATTCCAGCCAGATTCTTCGGTATTCCGGTGGTGAGGATTTTAGCTTGCTGTTCCGTTAAACTGTACAGTGCGGATTCGACTTCTTTCCCTGTGTATCTTTCGTAAACACTGTACATATAGTTTTGTAATTGACTACGTTTGGCCTGTGGGCTATTCAGAATAACGTCAATGTATGAGAATGTTCCTATGACGAGCAATATTGCAGCCATCACAAAGATGAAGTAATACTGGGTGAATATCTTGCCAATTGACACAATCACGGTGGTTGCTGCGACTGCTTGGCCGATTGTGGAAAACAGTTGTGGAAATGAATGGTCGACCGTGCCTCGAAGTATCACCATTTTGAATTCTGTTTATCTTTTATCTTCCTTTGAATATTTTTCTTTGCGCACAATTTCCTTCATTCACTTATCTTCATTCACTGCTTCAGTTTTCTTCTAAGAAAAAGAATAGATTTGAAATAAGATCTAGATAAATTGAGATTTATGTATACAATAGATTCGCCAAGCTGGTGATCAATATAACGTTTAAGGATAACATTTTTATGGATTTTGAAATGTCAAGTATTCTTTTAAATAATGCTGTTGTTGATAATTTCTTGCATGATATTCTATATATTTTGCACTTTTAACCAATTTTCTAGAGTTATTGGCTTTAATTCGAAGAACTGCTTGTATCTAAAGGAGATAATATTCATCAGGGTTGACAAAAATAACATTGTATCATAGGCTTTTTGAAATTTTTTCTGCAGCATTCTAGGCAGGAATACTTTTTAATTTGTGAAAACAGTATTAATATGACAAGGAAGGTTCAGCTTTCTTGTTGGCAAATGACTACTTTGGTAAATGTTTTATATTTTTGTTTGATATTAAATATTAGAAATTTTGATACTTAAACACCATTATGTTAAGCTATTTTTTCCAGGCTTTGTTAGTATTTCTTTGTCAATCACATTTTTACAGCTTAATAATTTGAATCAGCTAGTTAGCTTGCTCTCCCTGTCTTACTTCATTTAAACATCCTTCATAAACAACTAAAATATTTTCGGAAATTCCACTTTCCTCTGACACTCTTTTTAACTGCATCTCAAAAATGGTTTACCTACCTTACCATTTGATGTGCCAGTAATTTGCAATATTCAATTTATGTCTTACTTGTATACGTGTTTTCTTTTCATTAATCTAGTTCATATTGCACTTACTTGTATACTTACGTCTTGGTCCACATACAAGTATTTTCGGTGACCTGTCTCGTTCCAGAACCTTACTCAATATGCATAATTCTTCTCCCCGTCTCTGTTTTATACCAACTCAGCTTTGTCGCTAATCTCTCTGTCAAAATACTATTTCACCACATGTGCTACGGCCTAATCCGAATCTCTCACAATAAAACATTAATTTCCTCGCAATTCAGTCACACATGCGTTTGCTTATCTCTACTTGTTTTGTCGCTGAAAATAAATAATTTATGGACAATGCGTCTGTGTTCAACTTTAATTACAAGTCAGTACAGGAACTTACTGCTAAAACCTTTCCTTGATTCATACCCATTTTTGACATTGTACTCATAGCATTGACGTTGCAGCTATCTTAAGCATTCTGTATTGCTGCCATGCACTTTGACATTGTATCCTTGCTGATGATGCTTCCTCCCATCAAATCTTCACAACATTAAAAGAAATATCTTTCCAGCGCTTGTCAGTGATAAAATGAATTGCACCTCGTTGCATATCTTGAATGGAAGGCACTGGTCTTTCACTCTACCATATCAGTTTACCAGTATAAGCAGGTTCTATTTACAAGTTTAATACATCAACTTTTTATTGATGACCTGTCGTGGCATTACATAAAGTGTATTTCAGACGCTGGATTTAGACTCTTACCCTAGCGGAGGAGAGAAGACAATTTCACTTCCGCTTTTCATTCAAGTAAACATCAACCTGCTTTAAAGCTCGACCCGAAGCTCTATAAGGAGATAGCCTCTTCTATCTTTTTGCAAATATAGGGTGTTTAGATTTTGATACACAGTTATGTAAAACCTAAATTATTGACTTGTAGTTGGAGCTGAAATCAAAGGATTTAATGATCTTCTTTTCATGTCTTCTTTCTATCTTCGAGGATTTGAGAATTCTTTATCTCTTTTTAGAAAGCAGTTCTTTTTTACATGTTCTTAAAAAACTGTATTCTATTGAGAATAAACTGATAATGATTTAGTTGCCAATGTATATTACTCTTTTGTTGATATGGCATATTGATGTGAGGTACTGGAATGTTTTTGATCAGATAAGGCCAGGCCAAACGAATAAAACATCCATAAAACATCACCAAACACCATTGTACTAACATTGCTGGACCATGTTTTATGACGCAGAGAATTCCACCAAAGTGGAAAACATATATAATCAATATTATGAAACCTACTGTATATCGATCCATCATAAAGTGCTACTCCGAGTTTCACGCTTAATGCGATCGTCAGGCAACTGCCCTTGAGCATCAGACTCAGAACCGTCTTGTTTTTTACACCAAAATAGCGTGTACGTGCTTCACTTATCACGAGTACCCTACCACTTCTACCCTTTAGTGGTGATGAATCTCTTGTTCAATATTTTTTTCAGGGAGACTGGAACACAGTTTGCGTGCGTGGCTGTACTCCTGAAGTCGACGAAGCCGAAGAATGCGTGGAAAGTCGCCCCATCTTAAATCAGGAGCAGCCACTGATGCCCCTGCTGCAGCAGCTACCATTGTCAACAAACAGCCTAAATGGAGAAGTATCCATCTTTGATTTGTATAAACAGCCTGACGAATCTGACGATGACAGTGATGATTTTGGCCTAGATGACGATTCTCTACCGGGATAGTAGTTTTTGTCCATTATACCGACAAGTTACAAACGTCATTTAAATCTTGGTAATTTTGCTAAATGTATTTTGTAACTTTACAGTTATTTTCCTACTCTGTTCATAATGCTTATCTAAATGGGGGAGCTTGGCGGGGCCATCTCTTCCATGATTTTCGGCAGCATCGATTTTGTAATTCGGGCAAGTTAAAAAAAAATATTTGACGAGAAATAATATTTGGCGATATACAATGTTGCTTGTAAACTGTATTAGAAATTAGCCGCAATTTTGAAAAATGTTCGAAAATATTGTAAATATTTTACAACGCTGTCAATTTGTTCATTGTTCCTAATAAATCGCGCTAAAATTGGCAAAACGAAATTAGCCTTTGGTTCTTTCTACGCGCATTGAAGGCTTACTCACTTAAAACAGCTTTCATTGAAGAGTTGGTAGAAGGCGTTCTGTTTACGACAAAAATACATGGATATTCATTAAATATACTAGATGCGTGTCGTACAATGTAGTGTTATGATTAATACAGAGAGTTCACTAATTTTGAAGTAGAATAGAAATATAGTGTAGAGTTTCGTATTTAGCATATTTTGCTTCGAAACGCTAATGAAGTCCAAGACACAAGAAGCAGTCCATAATTTTCATCTGGCTGATATCTTCTGAAAAGAAAGGCCTCATAAAATATAAAAGGACACTAAACCCTAGTTCAGTGTATTTAGTTTTTGTAACTACACCTGCAGTCGAAGATGTTGCTTCAGCTGGAAAGTATTGATTGTGACTAAGGCTGACCCATTTTGGTACAGTGATTGATGAGCTATCATGAGTGGCAGTTACAAAATAGCCAATTTTATTGACTGGCATTTGAACATTCAGTAAGATGTTCTATTGGATGATCGCCGTGTAAAGTTAAAAAATGACAAAGGATGATGTTGGGCCTTCAATTCCGTGAAGTAAAATGTTCGTTTAGTTATTAATGTTAATCAACTCATTTAGACCACTCTATATGCTCAATTTCGTAGCGTTTTCTCTACTACTGAAAATCGACTTCCCTGTCCATCCTCAATATTTAAACCAAATAGTTTGGATTAACAAAAGTTGCAATTTCGAGCGATTCCCTTTTCAACGAGAGCATATGTAGGTATACCCTGGGTACCAGACTCACTATATATAAAATAATATATATAAAATAATATATAGTGAGTCTGGTACCCAGGGTAATGTAGGTACTTCTGTTGCTCCTCTTTCTTTATTTTTTCAAATTTTCTAATCTTTAGCAATATCTGGTAGTGAAGCTGATTATGGAACTTTGGTGAAATTATCCTCCCAATTTGCTGTAAGATTTCCCGTTTGCCTGTCCAGCTTAATTCCTAGCCTTGCAATTTACATAATCCTTACAAAAAATTCCACATTGTTAGACATTAAAAATTTATTTAAACGCACACAGTATTTCCTGAAATCAAAATTTTGTGGAACATTCTCGAAACGAATTTCTTCTTAGCACTTTGTCAATCGGCCTTGGCTTTTTATGCGATTTTATGATCGTAATTTTCAACGATATTCCTTAACTGTTTAGTTACGGAATAGAATTGGTAAATTTTTTATCTGTGATGCGATTCGGTATGGTTGCTCAAACGGAATGATTTTGTATTGTGGTTCAAATAGTCTTGTCCATTAAACACAGTAACAGTTCATTTTTATTCAGCATATGGTTAGAGCAGGGCGCGCGCCACAGGGTGGCCAGGGGGCCATGGCCTCCCCACTTTTTCGCTAAATAAAAGACTAAATTCAGCTTAAATGTATTTATAGAGGCAAACCTTTAGATTGCAACGAATACATTGAACCAAAACCAGCCCACACATTGAACCAAAACCAGCCCACAAGAAAATCAACGTCAGCAAAATGATTGAGGCGAAAGCAGAGAAGAGCAACTTTTCTTTCGATTACTGGCCCCTCCAGTTTAGGATCAATGGCGCGGGCCCTGCAGAAGGCTATGTTTCAGTCACTTTCGTACTGCACGCTAAAAATGCAAAATTCTGTATTTTCAGGGCTAAATGTACTTTGTAAACCTGATGTGTCATTGCTAAAATCATATCGTTATGGAAAATGGGTTTTGGCTCATTGGATATTTTTATATCGTTGTTGTTACACTAACAGTTTAAGATAGTAATTCAAAGTAATTCTACGAGATTTTTATTAGAATGTTCTTTCAGGCAACACACAGTTTCAAATAGTTTTTGTGTTATTGTATCATTTTTCTATTATCCCGATAAAATCATATAGCTAACTAACGAGCTGTCTAGCAAACGGCTCATATAGCTTATGAGAAGAGATAATATTGAAGTACCGCAAAGTTCTGTCTTATGACCCTTGTTACTTAACATCTATACCTTTCTAAAGTTATCAAAGGAGATGAAATTTGCTACTTTGCAGAGGATTCAACTTCGTATACGTGTGATCTGATGAGAAAAATTTGCTTGACAGAGTAGAGTCAAACGCTGCCAGTTTCGGAACTTGGATCACAAGCACTCAAGTGAAATTAAATGAAGGAAATACACTATCTGGATTTTGGCAAAAATAGAGGAAATTTCAAGGGGAAATTAAAAACGAGTTGATAGAAGAATTCAATCAAAGAAAATTATTAGCATGTATGGTTGTAAAATATTTCATTTTAAAACCCAATTTTTATTCTCTTTGCAAAACGATACTGAATGGACCAAGTTTAAACTAAATGTTAACTATACTTTTACTAGCCTGGATGATTGATGTTTAAAACATTAACAACCAAATAAACAAGGTTCATGAAAAAACACTTTAAGCATTTCCTAGAAGTTAAACATTTGTTTACCTCTAGCATAGGCTTTTGCATGTATTGTGACTTCCTCATTCCTGTGAAAGAACTTTTCAAAACTGGAGTCCAAGTCCTTTAGCAACACTCCCAGAACACGTTTGTAAACTCCATTTATTTCATTGCACGGCCGGCGAAAGTGGGGGGGGGGGCCATGGCAAACTTTTCTGCAGAGCCAAAGGAAAATTTTAGGCAAAAGTGGAAATAAAAGTAGCATATCATTCTGTAAGTAACTATGCTTAGTAATCCCTTACATTTGCCTTTAGATTTAGCTTGGTTGCTATTACTTTACCGTAGAAGACATATATAAATTTGAATATGGGAAATAAGATCAAAGAAATCGGTCATTGTCTAAGTTGTACAACTAGTAATAGCTTGGCTTAGGAAATAGATCGAGAAACCTGATCCAGCCAGCACAAATTGACGGAGTTTCGTTTTTTCTATTGCCTAAACGTGGCTCACAAGGTCTATTTGTTAACAACAAATTTCTCAGGAACATTGCAAAAAGAGAGAAATCTCTAGCGATGTGGAAGGGAAAGAAACTGACAAAAAAAAAATTTTTGAGGACATGAGAAAGAAAGAATGGGCAGATTTGTTCTATAAAAGTAACATCAAGAAAACTTTAAAATTTGATTGTATCGATAATCCATTCCTACGAAAAAAGAAAATCTAGACGCAATTGTAAATTCTATTAAAATTATTTTTGATTTTTGTTAAAAGCACCTTTTTTCCGAAATATTTAAGATCAGATGTTTCAAAACAATATCCCAAGTGTACAAATTGCTTAATTTGCTTTTATTTTAGTTGATAGTTCTTCTGTTTTTATTTAACTTGTTCATGGCCTCCAAAATAGTCTTCGAATGCAGATTTTATTGTATGGTGACAAAAATTTCCCAGATGAAGTTAATAAAGATATACTCCTGCTGACGCTTAAATTCATCCACAGATCTGGTCGATTTGATTTGATTTGATTAGAAAATTTCAAACTCCGTTACAAGTCATAAAACCACAGCCACCATCTCCCATGTCCCTTTTTCCTTTCTTATATTTTTAGTCGTGAATTTTAAAGTCTGCCTCAAATTGGATGCTACGCAGGAGTTGCGATGATACCTAAACCTCCCTTCTTAAATTTGAATTGATCGCAGACATTTCTCGTGGCATGTAATTTGAGACAGACTATAGTAGTTTGTTTTTTTAACCTCTGTGTCTATGGCCCCAGGGTAGTCATAGTCTTTTGCTCCTCGGGGTATCGTCCGAGTAGTATTGTAAAGTAAATTTGTAAGTAGCGTAGCTTGTATTTATGTATTGTAACTTTTTAATGGAGATAAAAAACTTGTACATATTGATTAAACAAAGGTTAAATATATTGCCTCGGATTTTCCTTCAGTTAAAATCCATTTTAGATACAGTCTCTGGCCATCCCTAAAATACAATAATCCTAAAATTCTCTTGCCGCCAACCATGGTGGCGGCCTAACCTAAGCCCTTTCAAAACCTTCATATTTGGCCCCTCCACTTTCAAATACGTTTCGCCGGCCCTGCATTGAAGACTGTTTTCCCACAAAACATTCAGATGAATTGGCAATAATCAAAATTGTCTTTATATATGAGCCATATACCAAGTTTGCCTCCTAAGAGTCAAGGTTTCTTGTATCCCACAAAAAAACTTTACCTTTATTTTTGATCTTTTGGCAGATAGTGTTGATTGGTTCATTAAAGTTGAGTTTTGAGTCAATGGTATGGTAAGAGCTTCAGCTCCAAGGTGTCCAGTCAAACAACAGAGGGAGAAAATCGAATGTCCCTTTGCTGTTAAGCTCGATACCTTAGGAGGCCAAGTGCCAAGGATTACTAAGTAAATCTTTTTTACTAATTGGCCCTCTCCAGATGAACCTTTTGCCATAATCTAAACCAAAAGCAGCTTAATTTTTTACAGAACCAAGATTTGCGACAGATAAAAAGTCTTGAAGATTTTTAACCGGCATATGGACTGTCATCGAAATCATGCCCTCTGGGCAACCTCAATAGATCATTTGGAACTTAGAATTACCAGCGTCAGTGTGTCGGGGTGTGCCCAACAATTCGAACAGAATAATTGTTTCCAAGAAAAATGTCATTAAAACAATAGCAAGAGGACAAATTTTACCACTTTTTGTCACAATAAAGGGGCCAAGCCCTCAAGCCCATTTCAAGCTGGATCCCAAACAGTTAGCATCTGGAGGGCTGCAGGGCTGTTATGGTTTTGCCTAGATCCTCAATCACTGGCCACCCCCACCCTATCTATCCTATGCCCCTGGTACCTACATGAAAAGCTTTATGAATGGAGCTTCTCTCCTATTAAACAATTTTCCAATGCTTGCTTTCGGCAAGTGAGACATCTTTGGGATTACCCACTTGCTTTTTTCATGGCATTGCAACCTTGGCCGTAGTGGATGCAAAACGTTTAGGGGGGTTTAGTATGGATCTTGAGATGTAACTGCCCGAATAGAGCCCTAAATGCAATTAATGTTGCCTGATTAAGGGGGGCTGCAGCCCTCCCAGCCTCTATACCTCCGTCGCCTATGATTGCAACCTGATGAAAATCGAATGCTTTCTCCACTTGGACAAAAGCACAGTCATGCCGCCATTTTGAAAAGAACTGGATTGTGGGATGTTAGGTCACGTGATATGGTCGATTTCGTTGTTGAAGAAATGTGCTCTTGTGGAACTACAGCAATGGAGTCCATTATGGGAATGTGGAAATTTTCTGGAGGCAGTTGAATGACACTTTGAAATGATATCAATCCCTCAAGCTACATAGCTCAAGGCACCCAATTTCACATTTTATATCTAAAAATGCCGCGCATGAGAGGAAGAGGAGTGCAAAGAGATGCGCCATCACGTAAATGGTCGCATCTAAAAAATGGCGCGAAGGATAGTCCTGGACCAAGTAGTCCGGCTTCAAGTGAAGCCTCTTCAAGGAGAACTTACAGAAAATCTGATCGCACAATAAAGCATGTTTCTAAAGGTGAAGAATTTTTCTATGAAGATGCATTGGCTTCAGATGATAGTCTTGATTCTCTGGACACAAGCTTTTCCTCAATCAGTAATAGCGATATCTCGAGTATACATAGCTGCGAGACACCAAGAAAATCTTATTGCAAATCAGCTGTGGCTATTGAAGATCCTGTTTCAGCACCACCCCTTAAAATACCTCCATCGTCAGGAGACCTTTTGATCGCAAGCGAATTATTAATGGAAGCTTTGCAAGTTTATGAAACTGTACGGCATTTTAGCCGGATACTTAGAATTTCTCCGTTCGGTTTTGAAGATTTCTGTGCTGCACTTCGTGCAGATGAACAGCCTTGTATTATTGCCGAGATTCACATAGCATTACTTAGGTCACTTTTACCAGAAGATGAAGGAAGTGGGATTGTTTTCGGTCCCAATGATGAAAAAGACAGTATCAACGTTCACTGGTATTTGCTGGATTCGTTCACTTGGCCTGAGCTGGTTAGAAGCTATATTCTCTCAGATAAAGACTTTGCAGATTTGTATGCTATCGTGGAAGATGCTTCCTACCCATTTGTGTCTGTTAAAGGGAAATTAAAAGTTTTAACAAGGCTATGTGATTATTTCTTATCAGCAAATGCAGTAAGAGAGGAGATCGCGAATGAACGAATGTTTATATCAGACGATTATTGCAGGAGCTGTGGTCGAATGGGGGATTTGCTTTGCTGTGAGCTTTGCCCTGCAGTTTATCATCTTGCTTGTTTGAAACCCCCTCTCTCTGAGGTACCTGCTGGTGATTGGCTGTGTCCTGTCTGTGAGGCACAGAAGGTGAAAGGTGTAACTGATTTATTAGCTGAGGAAGACAAGCATTCAATTTTCAGAAATGCCCCACTTGGTACTGATAGACACAGAAGAAAATACTGGTTTTTGATCAGAAGAATCATAATGTAAGTTTTTTTATTGTTCACCTGTATTTGTGAATCTTGATTGTTCTAGCTCATAGAATAAACTTGCTTCTTGCTGTCTAGAAATGTTGCAAATTTTTTAGCAATATTTTCCAGAAATTCTTTTAAATTTTTGTAAACATTTTTCTAAAATTTTGCACAATAGACTCCTTGTCAGTTCCCTAGTCATCTGCCTTGAGAAAACAAAGGTCATTGCTTGCTCCAAGGGGTGTCCAGGTCCCACTTTTCTACAAAGTGGTTTGCCATGCATTCTTTTCCCTGTGTTTGAAAATTTTGCTAATTAAGTTCTCGTTTTTTAAAGCATATACCTCCACGCCTCTCTTATTTTTGGCCCTATCTTCAGCCCAACAGCACAGGGGCATAGCAAAAGCCAAAGGGGGTGTGGCCAAAGGGGGAAAAGAGGTGATGAACCCTCTAATTTAAGGTTTGTCAGCCACTTCAAAATAAGGTCCCGATTCTGATTTTAATATCGAATGCTAGTGTTTATATATAAACTTGGATTTTATAAGAAGAGCCATAAAGAAATTCAAGCATGTTTTGTACTCCATTCCTGCCTAGGAATTTTCTGTGTATTCTGTCTCAAGTTCTTGGAGATTATTATTGAATTTGTGCCAAAACTAGTTGTTAGCATGGTATAATTTGTTTATGTTTATACATCAACCACAAGAGATTTGCCATATGGCATATAAATTATGTGACAGATTTCTTATCATTGCACCACACCTGGCTGACAACTGTGTAAATGTTTTTGTAAAGAAGTACCACAACCCTTAAAATTAGAGAGTTCCTCTGAATGAAGCCCTTCCACCCTGCTTCAAATATGTATTTATGACTTTAGATTTTCAGCCTGGATATGTTGGTGATACTTTGTGGATATTTCTTTACCATTTTTGTCTTTATGCTTGTTCATCTTGTATGCACGGTTAATAATGGATCCTTGACTTATTTCCTCAAGAGTAATATTTACACACCTTTATTCTCTTCAGTTTAAATGCCACTTCTAGAAGGCTTGATATATAAAACGCAATATCTTATCATTTTAAACTTGTTTTTCATAATTTTGACCTAATAGGTCTGCAAGACAGATGTGCTGTCTCCAGAACAATATAAAGTATACCATTGCCTGTTTTGGCTGCTAACAAAATATCATGCTGATTGTTCAAGTAAATGCCCCTCTTTTGTTCAGGGGGTAATTGTCTGGCAGGCATGCTTATCAGTGGGGTTCTTTTTAGTAATGGGCAATTTTTGGTTAGTTTGTAAATGTTAATTTGTTGTGTCTATTGTTGTAGAAGCAGTTTGTCATAGCTTCATAATTAATGGGGAGAAGGCTTAACCGATAGTGACAAAGAAGCATACTTTGGTTACTTAGAGAGAATGTCTATTCTGATACTTTTTTCATGTTGATTTTTGAAAGAAAGGATAATCATAACAAATCAAAAAGATAACTGTAACAAAGAATATATAGTGTCCTCTTACAGGCCTGGCCGTTTGTATTTTCATAGGTGAGCTGTGAATTGCTCCCCTCATATACTGAGGCGAGCTAAATCAGTAACACATAGAATGTACTTTAAAGACAATCGACAGATGACTTAATAAGCCCCTTTAGTATCTGTTGGTTGCCTTAATGTAATAGCCTCAGTCAGGAGTGTGCTGTTTTACTTCTTTCAATTTGCATTTGCTTTAACCGAGACTTAGGCACCCCCTTTACTTGAAGTATTTGAAAGAACAGACTCTCTCCGTTTTATGTAAAGCTGGCACAACACAAAAACAACAATTCTCTTGCAAAACAATCTTTTTGTTGCACAGAATTTGAAAATGTCTTTAAAAAACAAATTTTGAAACAAACTTAATTATACGTCTAGCACTCTTCAGAGAATAAAAGGTCAGAACATAGATGAAAAAATCTACGCTAAAATACCCAGTTTTGGATCGAAATAGGCCATCAGAAAACGCGAGGACATGACTGTTGAGGTTTTCCAATAAGTGCCCCTTTCCTATTGAAAATGTTACCAACGGAGTTCTAAGGTGAAAACGAACTCACTTATGTCTATACAAAAGCAGTCGGCCATGTTTATATAGTAGATAGATTCACAAACTGCTACATAGATGGAACGATGATCAGGCTTTGCCAATAATGCGAAACATGTCGCTGTTATAGTTTTTCACCCAATCTGGGTTTTTCAGTAAATGCTGCTGGATAGTGGAATTCCATGTTTTGGTTGTCGTTTTTGATCTGCAAGACAGAGTACCCTGTTCTCTTTGAGGGATAGTTTTGTTTCTATTGCTGGAAGGGACCTGCTGTGTTATTATATCCCAAATCTACAATTCCTACCCATTTCTTTGACTTTCCTTCCAAAAATATTCCTGTTTTCTAAGGATCGAAAGGTTCTAATCGCTACAAACGTACCTTTCGGTTAACTATCCTTTTCCAAATAGATCGAAGTTTATGCATATCATAACAAAAACCGCCCAACAAGCAAAAAGTTAATTGCAAAAAATGCAGTGACGGGAGAAATCGCTGTTACAAAAATAAGCCAATTAACCCGTTTTCAGGGTTCTCTGAATAGGAAAAGGGCAAATGAATGGAAATTTTAGGGGAGCGATTCTCCCTTCATGTTCTGTTTAGGAGAGCAATTCATAGCTCGCCTCAGGTTGCGAGGGGAGCGTGGAGGCGAGCGCGAGCTATCGCTCGCCTCAAACGGCCAGGCCTGGTGTCCTCTTATGGACACAGCCATAGTCCTTGTTGGCTTTTGAACAAGTTGTAGAGCATAAGGTTTTGCTATTCATCTCAATTATTCAAGATTCGATAGAATGCACTAAGCTTTTTGCTTGTTTCTTGACACGTTTTGGCTACATGTTGGTCAAATACAGGTTTTGAGTCTGTTGAAACACCCTATAGATACACATATACAATGTCTGTCTTATTTCAAGAACAACATTTTCATTTATTTTCAAGCCAAGTAACATATCTGATAACTTTAATGTGTCAACCACAAATTGATTTTTCTTAGACCAAAACATCAATTATTAGATATCATTTTTGAGATTCGAGAAACACCAAATTCTAAAGAATTGGCATAAAAGAAAATTATATCCTGATCAGAAAAAAGGAATTCCTCCAACAGTCCACTAAATGATGTTGATCAAATAGTTTAAGAAAACATTCAGTTATCATGACCCAGGTAGTTTTGATACAATATTTACTCACAGTGCATGAAAATAACATATTTTGTAGTTTTGTAGTCTGCAAATAATCTTCTCAGAACTATTTTAATTCACTACAGTCATATCTACAATTGCCTTCCAGCATGCAGTAAATGGCCAGCCAGATTTATTAAGAGTGAAATTGATGAACATAAGCAGTCGTTTGAAAGAAGGCACTAAAAGTGTCATGCCCCATATTTTACACTAAACCTTAGACTGTAGCCCAGTCTAAAGTAGATGAAAATAGAAATCAAGAATGTGCTGAGAGAAAAATTGAAGACAGTGATTTAGATCTAAACTGGTTGTATGCTAATGACTGGGTCACAGAAGTCATCATTATGACTGACTCTCGCAGATTTTTGCAGTTACAAGGGAGCTTTGTTTGTTTGTTTGTGATCTTATTTTAAATCAAATATAATTTTCAGCTACAATGCCATAGCTTGTCTAATTTGATTAAACAAGCTGTCATTATTTATCCTTATAGGCAGTCATCATTAAAATTTTTGGTATTGTCCTAAGCATCATTTGATTGAATGATTGTTATCTCCTGTATTTTGTAATTATGCTTATCTGATTCCATTCTTCTGTGTTTCAGTGAGGGAGAATATGAAACATTTTACTACAGTTACCCATCACATCTAGATGAATTGTTGGATTCTTTAAAAGAGGATGGTTATGAAAAGCCATTGGTGCAGACACTTGAGGAGAAATATGATTTGATTGTTCAACACATGAAATGTACTGAAGATCTTACCATTGCTGCAAAAGGTCCAGCACTAACTTATTTTATTTTATTGTTATTTTAGATGCATAATGCTTACAAGGAATGAACAGATTTAAGTTCTATAAAAATTGTTTGTACCAAATGTGATCTGCTATTATCAGTTTTTATAGTTGTAAACTTTTAAAAAAATTCTGCTATTTGCAAAGGTTTTTTTTTATGTAGAAAAATTTGAATATGTTTTTTTAAGATTTATATCTATATTTGATACAACTCTTTGACAAGTGGAAAATATAATTTCTTCTAAATAGACTGTTAATTGTTATATGGAATATGTGGACTTAGGCTAAGCAATATAGATTTGAAAGCAAATATGCAAAACATGAGTTCAGAATTATTAATCTAAGAACATTTCTCAAATTTGATTCACAAGTGGAGTAAACATAGCATTTTTTGGTATTCTAGGTGACCTAACCCCATACTTGTACAAAACAAGGGTGAAAGGGGAAACAATTGAAAGCAAGGATGCTATTGAGCATGCCAAGAAAGTTGCTGAACAGGAAGAAGAAGAGAAATTGATGCAGATTAAAAAGGAAGAGGAAGTCAACAAACAAGGTGATTTTTGTTATTGGTCATGCTAAAATGATAATATGCATATATACTAGGTTAATCAATTTGAACAGGGCATATGGTTGCAGAGTTTTTAAAACCATTCTGAAGATCTTTCTCATTTTACAGAATTTCCGTGAGTTTTTAATAGTTGATATAATTAAGCTCAACTTTTGCAGCTCCATTGTAAATGCAAAAAATTAAGAGCTAATTACGAAAGGCTATGTTTTTACATTTGTAATGGCCATTTATTCAGATATCTGAATTGTCTCTTGAAATTTTGTCCAAAATCATGAATACTTTGCTATGATGCAATGACAACTTACTATTAAAGTTACAGAAAAGGAGCTTCTTTTGGTGTTCCTTTCCTCAAATTGGAATAGAGACAGCAATTTATTCCAATTGGTAGTAAGAGAAATGTTATTCGCAAGCTCAAAACTCATACAGTACAGATATTGATGGGATTTTAAAGAAGCAGAAAGGATTCTGAAAATTTTTATAGTTAATAGTAGCCTCCTCTTATGTTAATTTGATAACCACTTGTAGGTATCCTGGGTCTTAATAAGGCCATATACCAGACAAAAAGTCTGTAAATAAATCATGTATTATCATAACATATTATGCCTACTTGGCAAAAATACAAGAGTACAGAGAATCTTTTTCATGATCTTCAGAAAGCCAATGTAAATCTTTAAGGCAATTTCATTATTGTAATCAACAGCTTATGTCTAATTATATCTAAATGGTTTATCCATTTAATTACATTGCTCTTTTTGTTATATACTGTATTAATACCTTTACCTTAGCAATGTTTTCACTCTTATTCACAAGTTTCTATTAATCATAAAAATGTGAGGTTAATTTATTCTGTTTATCCTTTATAGCTGCCTCAGGAGATGCTTTAAGGGGTGATAATGAAGAGCAAGATATTCGGTTTGTGCCTGATGGTGAACCAGTAATGATAAAAAAGTCGGACAAATACTCATATAAGGTTCTAAATTCAGAAGTTGGGACTGATTCTGCCGACCAGAAACCACAAGAGTGGGATCAGCAATCGATGAAAATTGAAGAAGGGCAGTTATTGCCAGCAGAAAACCAATCTCAGGAATCTAAACCTACTTGTGCATTGCCAAACAGAGTTGAAGGGCATGCGGTCCAAGACAGGCAAATTTCTGTTGAAATTGAAAAGGAGTTTAGGGATTTTCTTGGTTCACAGAGCCAAACGCCTGTTGACGCAAAAGCTCCTGCTGATGTGACCAGCAAAGACAGCAGAAAGCAAGATTCACAGGATAGTGGTGCAGTTGATTTAGAACAATCAAAAGCTGAGTCAATGGGCCAATCAGAAAAGGGTCCATGCACTGGTGCAAATGATATGCTTGATGTTCAAAGAAAAGGAGCTGAAAAAGATGAGAATGCTCATGCAGTGCTGAATGAAAATTTGAAGACAGGTAATGGTTTGTGAAGTTTCTGTTTCAATGGTAACTTGAGCTATCTTCTTTAATATTCAATTCTATCAAAAAGTATTGGTGCAATTTTCTGTTTGTGTGCCCCAAAGAAAACAGCATATGTGTAGTCAATGCTTTTGGTAGTGGCAAAACACAAATATACCCCATTTTATTCTAGCTAAATAGTCTGAAAAATGGGTTAAGATTTATTACGATGTGGGTTGGCGAACCTTCGTTGCTTTTTCTTGACTGATGCTGTACTGAACTGAAATGACGTCAGTCCCCTGCGGGGAGATATAGGTTAAATAAATGGTACTAGAAGACAGATTAGATGCTAGTAGAGAATGAGGTCACCATAGGCCAATATGATTAAAGAACGATTTAGAACGTTGTTAGAATTTCCTGTGTATATTGATAGATGGTGTTTTCATATGATATATTAGCTGTACACTATTTACTATTTTTTGCAATTTGGTTTATTTGCCACCATGCCTTGCGGAGAATGGAGTATATTTTGCCTTTCTTTTTTGTTTTTGTAAGCATATATAAAAACATCAGTAGGCATTGATTTGCGATTTTGTTCCAGATGTTAAATCGTCGGATTCCGTTACGGTGAAAGAAAGTGGGAGTTCATTGGATGTTGCAGAAGATGGAGCTACACCATCAAAAATAAGTGAGGATGCGATAGTCAAGAAGAAGACAGAAGAAGTTAAAAGTTATTTCAAGTTGGGAATGGAGGGCTCATACGTAATGTACGAGAACCAATACTACTCAAATTCACTGGCAAGTAGCAAAAATGACCACCAAGCAGAACGTGATAAAAGAAGAGTACTTGGAAATAAATTCAGGCTTTATGACTTCAAGTGGCTAGGAGAAGTGTACCAAGGCACATCGCTTGTTGTCAATACATTGCGGAGTACAATGTTGTCATTTGAGAGCTCTATACCGACAGCGTTTCTGCATCCAATGTGGTACAAACAATTGCCAGCATGGATCAAAGCTGTTCGAATGTGCAAAGAGGTGCCTGAATTCGCCGCCATGTTGACAGTTCTTCAACGGGCTATCAAACCGCTCATTGTTTTGAATGTGTGGAGAGAATCATTGGGTCATTTGATGCTGAAAAGAATGCAGGCTGAAGGAAAAAATAAGAAGAGCATGCGAGGCATTAGGGATAGAGATGCTATCGATGAAGACTTGGAAGATGACGAAAATGGCATCATTAAACCTAAAGGTACAGAGAAATTGCTTTTTAGCATTATTTGTTCAGTCGACTTGCGAGGAACAAAAACGACATATTGAATAAAAGCATTTCTGCCAACAACTTTGTCCGTATAAAAGAATTCACGATTCTCCGTATACTGTTTTTAAGATGTGTCGATTGTTTGCTATGCGCTTTACAAACGGATTAATATTTTCGATTCACCATAACCTAATGCCAATTTTGCGAAAGAAGAAACCTCAAGCTGAAAATTCTGGTATTTCTAATCCAAAATCTAGAGGGATTTTAGGCCGTAACCACATTTGCTTTATTTTTCATTGTTCAAATTTTCTTGACAGTTTGAGTTATAAGGTTCGAAACCAGATTTTGTTGTAATCAACATCAAGTTCATTAGCGGACCAAATGCCTTCGTAAAATGTTTCCATTCATTTCCCCTTTTTTATACACGATACATCCTTCAGCACTTTAGTCAAGCGATAGTTATCGGCTGTTTTGCGACTAAAACTGCGATGATGATTATCCAGGCACAATTTCTGTCACTTAAGTTCATTTTCTTTGTTTACAGTATGGTAGTTGCCTTTTTCAAGCTAGAACATGGTTTTTGCAAGAAAACATTGTGTTCTTTTTTGAATTACTTAAAGGCAGTCTGTCCCCCAATTGTTCTCAGAATCGTTTTTCGTAGCCACGGTATTCATGCATCGTTGGTTTAATGTACCAGTTACCAGTCATAATGAAGAATAATCATAGCATATTCTCCATGAGCGAGTTGCAGTAAATTCTGTTTCGGTGTCAAACGCCTCAGTCAGTTGCGATGACATAAACATCAAGCACTTTTTGTCGTGTTCACCCGCAATAACTAATGTCAGATGTTAGAAAGGCAGAGGAAGACCCTCTTTTAAGGCGAAGCTTTCAAATTAGAATTAGCACTTTTTTTGATTGCATTGTTTTTATGACTCTGAACGTCTTTTTGTTATTACTTCCTTGTCTTGTTTTCCCCCACTCCCCGGCTCATGTGTCACTTGATCTGTAAAAATTTAATATTCATTATACAGCTGCGCCTGTCAAGTTCAGTTGGATTCCAAGACACAAAGTTTGGGAACAGAAAGGCGAAGAGTACCGATTAGACGGGGGTGGGGGCTGGGCTTGGAGTGGTGGTGTTGGCTGCTTGAGATCACGCAAAAGACGCAGGGACAATGCCTGGCCCACTGCGGAGGAGAAAAGCTCGAAGATAAGAAAACTTGAAGTGGTGGTCGGTACTGTTAAGGATCGTAAAGAAAAGGCTCGTAAAATAAACAGTACTCAAGATATTAAAGAAAAAGTAAACAAAGTTGAAGGAGAGAAAGGTATGCTGGCTCTTTATGGAAACACGTTTGCTATGCTGTTTAAACACTTTAGTAAGTTTTGATTCAGTAAACGGTGAACAGTTGAAAGATGCAAGCGTAACTGGGTTGTGGCAATTAGTGCATTTCAAATGTTTCTACGAAGCTTGAATAGTATTTAATCAACCCCTCTTTTCCCCGTTGTCCACTCTTACCTCCCTCATGAAGAATCGTTTCAAGGTACCTTGATGCTCCTGATATCAATAGCATCAACTGAAAACTCCATATCCTTACACCTGAAGTTTCAAGAAGGGAAATTGATGACTGACACATTCAATCGATGGAAAATAACCTTTTATACTCTTATCATCAATATTAAACTCAATTATTGCCTGCCAGTTTCGTAATAGATGTTTTTTATTTTATGTGAGCCTGAACAGAATGCAGATGTAAAACTCGTTAAGTGAAACAGAGTACAACGTCGTTATAGAGACTATAAGTGAAAGAATTATCGCGTTATCTGATTGTGATATTATTCTCGTTGTGCTGCCTTCTTGCTAAATTAAAGTGATCTGTTGGATTTTGTGTTTATTGGCAGATTTAAAACCTTTTGCTGGAAGAGGAATTTACTCTTATCGCTTTATCTACTCTTTATGATTTTGTTTCAGATACTGCTGCTAAAACAAATGACGCAAATGTGACTTCTGAGACCAGCAATTCAAAAACGGCAACCAGCAATAGTGTTCCTGTTACAAGCTCTCAGCTGTCAAGTACCTCACAAAGTAGCTCTACAAACATTTCCAAGGACAAGGCTCCTGCTTCGCATGTAAATTCGTTATCTGTTGCAAAGCTAACTTCAAATGATCAAGACGACGAAGTCATAGATGTGGTGTCTGTCACAAACGCGGAGAAATCTACTGACAAAGGGGCCGTAGCTGGAACAACCAATGAAACTATAGCACCTCAGACGTGCAGTGCCACTGGGGACCAGAATGCCCCTGCTAAATCAAGTGAAGTTGTTAAGAGTCAAACAGCGACAGGCAATAATGAAAAAGATAAAAGTAGCGAGGTCTCTTTTAAGAAAGATTCTTCTCAAGAAGTGAATCGTTCTAAGAAAATAGACGCGCCTTCAGAAGGAGCAGATTCTACGGAAAAAGCCAGTGGTAACCAAAATACTGATATCAATGCCAAATCCAGTTGTATAAGCGTAGTCAATACTAAGGAACCTACTTGGACAAAGGATACATCTGCCGAAGCATTTTCTGGTCAAGAAGCTAGTCTTTTAAAGAATGACCTTATCGAATGTAGGAAGGAGAGTTCTCCAAATAAAGAGCCCGTTACAGCTATGCAAGTAAGCAATATAAAAGAGGAAACTTCAAGCAAACAAGTAGACCCTGTCAATGATCAAGCTTCAGATGTTGATACTGTACAGAGTCTTATAGTCAGTTCCGATAAAGATGTTCATATGGGCAGTGCAGAGACAAGGGAGAAGGATGCAAATTTAGCTGCCGGTAAAACAGATAAAGCTGTTGAAAATATAGTCGATCTTGGGAAGGAGAGGATGTTAGTCAAGACTGGCGTTGCTGCTTGTGCAAACGAAGCTGACCTTGTAGGGAAAGAACAATCTTCAAAAGATGATGCTCCATGCAACAGTACCGTACCCGCATCTAACTTGAAAAATAACCAGAAAACAGAGGATTTTGCTAAAAATTTGAATTCCGCTGGCCAAAATATTGTCACAACTACTTCACCAGCGAAAGATGGTCAAGCAGATCAAATGGAAGTTGAAGAGGGAGGTTCTCCTGCAAAGGAGGCTCCAAAGACGGAATCTGTTGGTATGAAAGTTGAAGAGGGAGGTTCTGCTGTGAAGGAGGCTTCAAAGACTGAATCTGTCGGTATGGAAGTTGAAGAGGGAGATTCTACTGTGAAGGAGGCTCAAAAGACAGGATCTGGTGGAACACAAGTAGAAGAAGGAGATTCTATTGCGAAGGAGGCTCAAAAGACAAGATCTGGTGGAACGGAAATAGAAGAAGGAGGTTCTCTTGCGAATAAGACTCAAAAGACGGAATCTGGCGTAATGGAAGTTGAAGAGGTAGGTTCACTTGCGAAGGAGGCTCCAAAGATAGAGTCTGATGTTTTGAAAGTTTCTGCTATTTCCCCATCAAAAGTAAAAACAGAAGGAGACGTTTTGCCAAATGAAAGTGTTTCTGAGGCTGAAGAAGCAAGAAGTTACCCACAAAAGCAACTGCCATCGTCTGAAGGAGAAAATGTCCCTGAAGACCTGTTGAATGAAAAAAACGAAGATAAGGCAAAGGGGGGTGTGGAATTTTCCAAGGACGCTGGGTCTCTGGTAGCAAATGCCAAGCAGGTTGAGAAAAGTGAAACAGCTAAGGATAACCTGACGCTCAATAGCCCATCTAAACGTGGCTCAGATGATTCGTCTGTGGCTGGTGGTTTGGATAAAAATGTGGAAGGTGTTATGAAAACAATTGCTTCTGATTCTTTGCATACGGAAGAAAACGATAACCAAGGGAACTCGACTCCACGTACACAAACTAAAACTGTTGGGGATATTATAGCTAAACTAACTGAGAATGATTTTGGAGCAAGGATGTCAACTACAGCAACAGAAACGTGCAGTACCAATGCATCGCAGACGGTTGATGCTTGCGGTTCTGAATATGAGCCAAGTAAAGCACTTGTTGACGAAACGCAAAGAATTTTAGATAAATTGTTAACAAAAGTCGACGTTCATTCACTTTATCTTCCTGACCCTCCAAAAAGTGTATTGAAGACTGAAGCATCTTCTACTCAAAGTTCGAGTTTAGATACGAGAAGCAAGCTCCCACTTGATTCGGGGGAAGGTGTGTCAGGAAATGCCCCTCTGGGAATGTCAACTTCTTTAGCACAAACTGTTACAGTCGCTAGTGCAAATTGCGATCTGCCCATTCCAAGTATATCCACTGACCAAAAACCACAGCCACGACCTGGGCATATCCCAGCACCTTTAACCCAGACATCAACAGCTGGAAGTGCAGTAAAGCTGGCTGTTCTCAATTCGAAATCCGATTTACCTAAACCAGTAATTCTACAATCACAGGTACCAGCAGTGCAACAGCTACCAGTCCTAACGCCGGTTGCCTCGTCTGCAGCTAAACCGGTTCTTGCTCATATCCAGCCAAGACCTCCGGTAAAGACACTAAATTTAGTGTCAGTCACACCAAAGTCAACCGGTCCCAGGCCAGTTGCGATTGCTCCAGCACCGACAACAGCCCAGTCAAGTATCCCTGTGGGTCTTGCTGCTTCCCAGATCTCCAATGCAGCAGTGCTTAAAGCGTTGGCAACTGGGAATGCCTTTCAAAGCGGAGGAATTCAAATCATCCAAGCATCCCCCGGACAATTTATAATTCGATCTAACGTAGTGTCTTCTGCCAATCAGCAAACAAACCCAAGAGCAGTGCTACTTGGCAATACTGCCATTATGTTATCAAAGTTTGGAGCAGGGGGTCAGTTAGTTGTGGATGGGTCACAAGGAACGCCAAGGTCGTCACATGTTTTAACTACAGGCAAGTATTTTTTGTCCCATTTCTCTTTAGTTGTCATTTTTTAAGGAACGCTAACACGGCTGATGTAAAAAATGTAGTGAGGGCGATATGTGTACTATAAGTGTAATTTTTTCCAGTGAAATCTAGATTCATTGCAGACTACTGGTTGCCATCCAATTTACCACTATCTTCCCTCTCTACGTCCTTTCTAAAAATGCTCTTTCTTGATGCAAGGATTTCCTTTAGAAAACCTTCGGTGAGATCGTGGCAAAAACAGCGGTAATTATAAAGTTTGCTTTGAGTTGCATTGAATGTCAATGTTAGATTCAGTAAACAGGGCAAAAGATCAGAAGTAAATGATTTTCAAAAAAGTCATTTCCACAGTTTTAGCTGAATTTGGTTTTCTTGGCTTTCTGTTTACCTTAGAGATATTGTAATCTATGTTTGGTACTTATCACAAGATTTGTAAAAATACAGCACACACCTGTTGTGGCAACTTAGTGCTGCAAGCCTGATTTTGAAAACGGTATCCTTTTGTGATAAATGATTTGGAAGACGATCTCAACCAAAGCTGTTGTTCTTCTCGGCAATAACACATGATTTCTGTTTTTGCCTGTTTATTTCATCTCCATGTTATGTAAAATCGATGGAAACATTACATTAAACGAAAATGTTTTCAAATGTTATCTGCTTATAAATTACTCTTCTCATGCAATGCCCTGCTTTACACAGCTCTGCCTGTAGGCGATGTAGAATTATAAAGCAAACCAGTAAATTTTTAATTTATTTTGCTCACAATTATGTAATCAAATGTGTCTGCATTTTCAGGTACCAAACTGACACCCCAGCCAACTCCTGTCGCCACATATCTTACTCAACTGGCAAGCAATGCAGTGAAAGCAGGCAATAGGACTGCGCAGGAGACTTTGAATGCCAAAGCAGCTGCCCTGCAGTCGCTTGCGCTCCACAAATCAGACTCGAAAACTAGTAAGGCACTGAGCGACAGTAAGAAACCCGGAAACGCAGTCCTGTATGAGAATGCTGAGAAGAATATGTGTACGATCCATAAAATTGTTGATGAACCTGTGAAGCTTATAAAACACGAGTTACGAGCATGGAAGCAAAGGAAAAGAGACATCAAAGGCATTTTTTTACTGGATAAACATAAACTTAAAAAGCTAGCAAGACAAGCCGGCATGAAAGAAGTAGACGGCTTTCAATACAATACGAAACAGACTAATGGCACTTTCGCGCAGTTTGGTTTCCCTAGGCCAAATTTTGAAAATTCTTGGAAGTTCCGTGTGTTGAACGCAAATTCGTTTGCATCTGTCGGGCATTTGTTGCGAATTCTTCATTGCTGTTTACGATGGGATGTCATCAATATTCGGCCCCCTAGAGGAGTTAATCATTCCATAACCACTAGCAAAGGTATGTATCCGCCTTAAAGGCCTTTGTCAATTTTTTATCCATCTTTTGTTGAAGTTGCTCTCCTGTCTTGCTGTCGACTTCCTTAGCGGAATCTTGTAGTATAAAGTATGATTTTCATGTTCGGCACGGTAAAAGGTATGATTTTCATGTTCGGCATGGTAAAAGGTATGATTTTCATGTAGCAAAGAAGCAAAAAGCTTGAATTATTGACTCGTCATTTCCACTTTGACCTCCAATTCTTTGCAAACTTGTTCCCAATTATTATAAGAGTTTTATACAAGTTTTAGAGTTTTAGAATAAGAAAACTTATTTTAGAGTCATCTGCTCCGTATTCGAGTTTTGTTTCCAAGCCACCTCATTTCTTGCCGTGCTACCGAGGCCCTTCGTGTATAAAAAGATCGTCAGGGGTTTGGGTCTAGAATAATTCACTGCACTCTTATCATCGGCAATACTTGTGTTTCAGGTATCATTACAATCGACATTCTTGACGGAAAACCTCAAACTCCGGACGGGTTGGTCTATTCATATTTGGTTAAGAAGATCATGCAGCCGTTTAAAGTGCAAGCGAATCCACCAAAACCAAAAGCAGTAGGAAATAGTAAGGACGAGAAGCCAGCAACACCGATCGCTAAGATGACCAAAGGGGGAATCAGACTACGAGAAAGAACAGCCCCCCTCAAGTACACGGTGGATGATGACCTCAATCTAACGGATGATGATGATGATGATGTTCCTTTTCCAACAACGAGACAAGTGATAGAGGAGTGGCTCCCTGAGGTTAATTCCTATATTCAAACGTTTTTACTTGATCTTTTTTGAAAGCAGCATTCTTTGACTAAAATGCGTGCGGTACAATATGATGAATTCAAATAACGATCAATGTAGGTAAATTGTACCAGGAAAATTTTTTTAAAAATAATTAACGACGTTTCGAGCATAGCCTGTTATCAAGTCAACAGGCTATGCTCGAAACGGGCTATGCTCGAAACGGGCTATGCTCGAAACGTCGTTAATTATTTTTAAAAAATTTTCCTAGCATTCTTTGACGTCTGCAGGTTGGGTTTTTCACAGAATCAAAGTCGATATCTTTGCCGAAAGTGTCCTTGATTTTTCCATGCTGAATAAACGCTCTTGATTTTCAATCTTTAAGACTTCATTGAACGCCATCTTACGTAAAACTACTGCAAGTGCAGTATAGGTATTTATAACAGATGTATTATCATACAGAGGTGATATAATTCAATAAAATATTTCACTTTTTATCGAGTCACTGTTGAACTTCACAGGTTTGTGCACAAATCATATAGAACTTAGCAATACTGCAGTAAAGATCTTTCCCAGACTACTTGTTAAGCTCCCATCTTTTCTCCGTCTCTTTTCGCAGATTCACAGTTTTACATTTAGATGAAAAGCCGAATATCTCTATTTGTAAATAGATAGGCATTCATAGCCCAGCTCATAATTATTTGCCCCTTGTATGGGGTGCAATTCTTTTTGCACATCAGTTTAAGTGAGTGGACCCTTCTAATGTGGCAAACGCCCTAGGTATTAACGAAGAGCAAAGAGAGTAAGCACAATACTACGGTGCTCTCTGTTGTTTCATAAAAATAACATATCGTTATACCATTTTTAAATAAACAGGAATCACTCGATCTTTGGGAAATTCGTCAGTACTGGGATAAAGTAGAAATGGAACGAAACCTACGACGTGAGAGACAGCAAGCCGAAGAAGATGCGCGGAAAAACATAGAGGCGAAACGGGCGGCGTTACTACGACGTCAAACCGAACAAATGATTAAACAGCAGCAACAACAACAACAGCAACTTCGAAAAGCGGCGAAAGTATCCCGAGGCGTGGTGCAAACCGAAACACCGAAAGTTATAAAGCAAGATTCGAAATTAACGATAAGGCCAGTGCTTCCAGGTGCGCAGGTCATGGTATCACGCTCTATAGCGTCTACTCCTACGAGATTCACCGCCCAACCAACGTATGTAACGATCCCAGGTAAACCTGGGGTATTGATACAGAAGGATTTATCCCAGAATCACAACGTTCTGTTGCAGTCATACCATCAGCAATTTAGCACCACACAGCCAAGTCCTATTCAGAAAGTCTACAAGACGTCTGCGCCTTTGCAGGTTCCTATGTCCGTCGCCAAACCATTGCCTCTGGGTATGTGTTCTTGCTTTAGGTGTATTATCTAGTTCTTATCCATTCAATTTCATATGTTTAAGGAGGGTAGCCCCTTAGTAATGCTATTTTTCAAAGGGCCCTCCACTATAAAAACTTACACAAGTCATGATGTTATAGAAAACTAAGTTGACCTACAATCGCTGCCAAAAGTCTTGGAACACTAACGTCAATTTTCAAAGGCAAATTCAGCAAAAATCCCCCCCCCCCCTACGAATGTTATGTTATGAAGTAAACAATCAAAAAATTGTTTGGGGGTGGAAAGGGCTGGGAGTGGTAGTATTCAGGAAAACAATTGAAAAATAGAAATGCACAGCGCAAGGTGTTGGATGTTCCGAGTAATTTAGGCAGTGATTGCAGTCACATTTCAATTTATACATACTTTTAAATTCCTTTCATATTCGAAAGTAGGTATCTACAATGAATATCTATGGTAAAGTGTAAAAATATTCTTTATAGGTATGATGTTTTTTTATCATTGCTTTTTTTCTGTACACACGTTTTCCAATTCTAACTGCCACCTTTTATGCAAATGCTTGTTCGGTATCTGGACAGTAACAGGCTGTCTGGTCGTATATTTTCTTTGGATTCCTAATGCTTGATTCTCCAATTTTAAATTGTATTATTCTTATCCTTTTTAATTTAACTATGTACACCAGATTTTCCCGTTGGGTAGGCTAAGAATGCAAAATTCCCGGCCTTAACCTCTGTAAAAGTGTAGGAGACTGAGATGAACAGGCAAATGTAGAACCCTATGGTCTGTTCACAGTTCATCACATCACAAAACATATACATCCTCTTTTTGAAACCCAAAATCAGTCTTTTAATCTCCTACTTCTTTCGTAGCTTCCCCTAGTGTAAAGAGTGGAGCGTCAACCTCCAAATTCATAAACCGATCAGGCCAGGCTATCACAGTGACAAGACCGCAACAAGAGAAAAAGGGAAAGAGAAAACAAACACTTATAGCTGCCAGAAAGTAAGTAGAATTCTTTTTAACTGTTTACGTGTTTGTTTTGATAATTTGAATAATCTTCACATGTTTCTCGTTATTAAGTCAAATAATAAAGCTATCTCGTATATTTATCAGGATGTTGTTTCTGCGTTGTTTTTATGGACTTTTATGGATTAAAAAGAAATACAGCTTTGGAGGAAGCAATTGTTATTAATTCAATATTCGCTGAGCTCAATTACTAATATTCTGTGGTACAGTGACAAATTTTATGGATAATTCACAATTAATGCTCAATGGCTCCTTGAAATCTAAAGTTAATCAGCTCTGATACTACATGATAGCAAGGCAAAACTTTTTGTTACCCATGCGTACTCTTGTTGTTCGCAGTGAAGCTGTCTGCAAATCCGTTCTCAATACATTGTTAACGAAACTTGAGAAGTTAGAAGAGAAGGACAAGCAGAAGCAGGATAGTACGCCATCCTCACGAAGGCGTTCCGTCAGCACGTCAAATCGAAAAGTTTCTGTTTCATCAGAAAGGCTAAGAAAACTTCGACGCGTCTTAAAGGACAGAAAAGACAGGTAAGCATGTCACATCTTGGAATTCTTAAATACTACTGGACTTTCTGAAGACCTTCAGGGTGGTATAGAGAAGCACAGAACCTTTTGAGCTCATGTCAAAGCCTATTTTTGCCAATTACTCTTCAGGGTATGAAACATCGTATAAAGGCCACATAATTGCTCAGCCACCGACCCAGATACGAGTCAAATCAACCCATCGGAAAGAAGGCCTATTTTATTGGCTTTATTTTGACGAATCGCTGTATTCATATCTGGGGTTGAATGATATCGTTAGATATCAAGAAAGATAGTAAGGCCCACAACCTATTGTTTCATCTCGATCCACATCTTTGTTATGATTCAAATTCAACGGGTCCCATTTCGCTCCTGGAAGTGTTGTGTCAGCTCATTTCATATATAACGAAAACGCCACAGCTGTTAATTATACAAGGACTTTTATCGCTCTAGATTTTTACAAAAGGATAAGAAGATCTGATTCTTTGTTATCAATCATAAAAAACTTTGTAGAGATACTTTGTTGTGATGTCTCCGATCATTTTCATCATACTTTTCTGTTCCACTGTACTGCATCTTTGGTTCTATGCTCTTGCTACAATCAAAGATTATTTGATTTTAGAATTTCACCACTGTTTTTTTTATGTTTCTCGGCTGCCGTCATCTGTAGGTGAAACTTAAGGCTTATTTCAATTTTGCACTTTAAGCCGCAAGACCCTAATTCAGTATTTCAAATTTCAGTATCTAATGCAATCTTCGGCGACCCTTTGGAAATTTCCGCGGCTTTTGTTTCCAATATTTGTTTTCACGGAATGTGTTCATGAAGGGCCCATAATGACAAAATACTTATTTTTTATGGTTATAAGGTTTTATTGATAGTTGTATGTGTTTTCTTTCAGGTTGAAGAATCAAATATTGAAAAAACGACAGCTACTTGAAAGGAATCTGCTCATTGAATTAGGAGACGAGCTTTACAATCAAGAACAACCCAAGACCGGTAAACGAAAGCGCGACAATGAGGTGCAAGAAGGACAGTCAAAGAAAATTAAGAGTGCTGACGAGAAATTGTACTGCCTTTGTAAAACACCTTACGACGAAAAGAAGTGAGTGTATGACAGTGATGGCATAGGCTTTGAAAATCTTATTCCCTATTACCCCATTTGCAAAAATTTCATGGGCATATCTAATTAAGTTTTAGAGGTAGGAGTTGATTTTAAAAATAAAATTGTAAGCTTTATATACCTACGTAATGCAAGTATTAAGACGATTGATAAATGATGGTGGCTTCGTTACCAGCATTCTAATTATTTCGAATAGTCCAGCTGTTTTGGCGGGATTCTTGAAATGGCGTCAGCAAAACTGCGAATCCTAGCAAATTCAATATATTTTCAACCCTCCCATTATAAAAAGTCGAATTTATTTTGTCAGTCCATTTCGCATTGAGATTTCCTATGTTTCCTTTCGTACAGGTTTTATGTTGGTTGTGATTTATGCAACAACTGGTTTCACGGCGACTGCGTTGGAATTTCGGAGGCCCAAGCGGAGTCAATGGATGAATTTATATGTGACGACTGCAAAAGGCAGCAACACGGAGTTGAGCAAGAAGAGCTTTACTGCCTTTGTAAGCAGCCCTATGACGAAAGCAAGTGAGTATGTCGTGAATGAGAAGCGGCCATATTTTCCTGTTCAAGTTAAATATCCACCGTTGTGCGCATCGCCACCAAAACGAGTAAGAACAGTTTGATGAGAACACGAGCCTTTTATGTGGTCTGAAATTAAGAACAAATTAAAAACAAGCGTAGAGTGGGGTACTGAGGAAAAGAGAAAATTTAGGAAAGCTGAAATGCATATACCCGGGCACTCTTAATATATACAGGCAGAATGTTGTTAATGTTTTTAAAAAACAATACCTGCATTATTCATATCCAAAGTATCTTACTTTTCTTAACTTTTAATTCCTTAAAATTTAAAAACAAATAAGGAGCAATCCAGCCTTATGTTTATTTATCTTTTCTATCTAATCTTGCTTCGAATTGGGCAGCTGTGCAAAATTTGTTCTTCCTATCACATACAATTTACAGAGTGCTTTTATCCTTTTTTTGTGGACACTTGGATGCTTATTTTCAACTCGTATTCAAGTCTATTAGGCCTCCTTGGATTTTTATTGTTAGAAAGGTTTTACGTATTATAACTTGCTGTAATAATTTTTGTTGTCGCTAGGCCGCCCTTTCTTCTAAAATTGATTTTCCAAATTTAGGTTCTACATCGGATGTGATATGTGCCAAGACTGGTTCCATGGGACATGCGTGGGGATTACCCAAGCTGAAGCAGATTTTATTGAAAATTACGTATGTCCAAGATGCTCAGCTGTAACCAGTGAAGAAAGAGTGGAAAACAAGCGCCTTTCGCCCAAAGATATCGAAGGACTCAAGCGCCTACTTAGATCATTACAGGTAGGCTGTTTTTTAATTGGTATTTAAATATTTATGTAAAAAGGAAGAAAAACAGGATATGCTGTCAGCCGGATTCTGTGAATCTTGCAATGAGTAACGAAAGGTAGTTAGGAACAAAGCAACACGACGATGAGGATCCTATGTATCATGTAAAATATTTGATCACACTAGAGCTTTTTCAGTTTTAAGACTTACAGTCGCTCCCTCCCCTCGGCAATGGACTGATCAGCAATGAGGTTGGAACCATTTATTGTCATATCTTATTGCAATTGCTAACTTTTCATTAACATCAACCAGGCATGAATTTTGCTCTAGAAAAATGAATTCATCCGAATTTGGGACAGATTTTTTTTAATCTTCTGGAGAATGGCATTTTGCTTTAAAAGAACATGCATTAATGTTTCTGCTGACAGCAACCTGATCAATGGAAATTTTAGCCAAGATTTGATTGTTCTTCTCTGGTTTCGAATGTATTGTCTCTCTTTATTTTCCGGTGCCATGTGACTAGTCTTCTATTTGTTACATTTTCCTTTTAAAGAATTTGCTCAAACTAAATACCTACACAACCCAACCTGACAACGTGACTAGAAGAACCGATAAAAAATCTACTTGTCGAAAATTTGCCGATATTTTGTGTATCGTACTTTCATCACTCTGTAAAATATACTTACTCTTGCCATGTGTTAGAGTCTTGTAGATTACGGTTTTTGTGGAGTATGTTTACGTTATAAAAATATTCTAAATTAGAGGAATTGCGACATGATAAAAGTACAGAATGTGGAGAAATGATGTTTGAAATCTTCAGTCATTATTTGCAATGCAAGTCTATAAAGAAAATCTGCAAAGATGGTGAGCTAACACTGCCATAGAAATTAACGATGCATTCTTGAATTTTCAGAGTCACAAAATGGCTTGGCCGTTCCTGGAACCAGTTGATGAAAGCGAGGTTGTAGATTATTACAACATCGTGAAGGAGCCGATGGGTAGGTTTTTACGTCACTTGTCATTAAGATATGCCTCGCTTTTAAGCGGTATTGAATAAGCACGAGGTATTCACCAATAAGGTCGTAGATTTTCATTGCTACTTCAGGCAGGCCAGATAACCATTTTCATTTTTATAACCACCTCGTTTGATAAGAAAGATTGTAAATGAATAGAAATGTTTTGACAGGTCCCCTTCAGTGTAGATATTGTCCAGAGGAAAATGAGTAAAAGATGGATGGAAGCACACAAATAAAATGTATTATTATTATTATTTTTGTAGAGTTTCAACTCGCACAAATCTTAACCTGTGCCTTTGTTTTCATACGATTTGCCACTTTTCTTAAACCCAGATTTATCAGACAGCTCATCAAAATACTATTTCTCTGGTCTCACTTTCTTTCACTCAAAATCACACCGAAGTTTTTAAGAAATCTATTTATGACAAACGACAAGCTCTTTGCATCTGTCTATAGCAAGATTATTTGTGCCTTTGAACAGTATGTGCTCAGTGCAGGAAGAGTGGGACACACTTGTAACAAAAAGAAATTTTTATTCGTTCTTCTCTTTAGGGATTTAAACACTAGTGAACCATGTCTTTGAATGTTTAAACCCTTGTTAACTATTCCTCGCGAGATTCAAACCCTTCGAAAGCTATCCTTTCAACAATTCCAGTTTGTATATATCAGCTTCTTGTTCCAATTCCAGATCTCCAAACAATGGATGAGAAAATTCGTTCAAGCAAGTACAAGACCTTAAAAGAATTCGTTGCCGATGCTTCGCGAATTTTCGACAATTGCCGATACTATAATACCTCGGATTCGCCGTTTTATCGATGTGCTGAAGTTCTTGAGAACTTTTTCGTGCAGAAATTAAAAGCATTTAAGAACACGTTGCAGAAGGTATCGAAATAGAGGCAGCTGACAGCCTCGATATTGCTCTGAAACAGCTACAGCATGGTGTTTCTGTTGCTTTTTACGACATTCTATAGTGCATCAGCAAAGTGCATCGCATGGCCTATCATGAATTTTACTTGCTTCTTGGCCAAGATGCCGAATGGGATAATTAGTGAAGCCTGCCAGGACCTTACGAGTAGAGGTGCTCTCGCGATTTTAAACTTGTTAGTTTCTTTACGAAGGAGGTAAACATACTTTCTAAAGTTAACGCTGCATTTATTGAATCCATGCCTTTGCTATTTAGATTTAGAATATTTTTATTTTGTAAAGATTTCTAAATCGCTCATCCATATGCAATAGATTCAAATGGAAGGCAGGAAAATTCCCATATGAAATGCATGGCTTGTTCTGCCATCTACATTCTTCGTTTTGCAAATAGCTTGGCCCCTATTTTGTAGTTTATTCAAATTGTTTTCCAAACTATGCGTGTTCGGTCGATCAAAAAATATAAAAATGCCATTTTTGTATCTACTGAGGCAGAAACTTGCAAACTGTACTTGTCAGACTTTGTTCTAACTCGGGCTATTTTCATTTAGTGGTTGGTAACCTAATTAACTTAAGCTAATCTAGTATTCTCACGGGAGTAAGACTGCTTTTGACAAGCTATATTAACTTAGTAACACAGTCCATTACTGCAATAACTGCATGCTAGTGCCATGATGAAGAAATTTTAAGCTATTGACCCTTGCGCTCCCTGTTTCTAAACGAGGTTAAAAGCCTTGCAGGCCTCTATTTGAAATCAGGATTTATACCACCGCAAATCAGACCTTCTATCTCTTCACTGCTTTTAAATTATTTACTGAGACTCCAAAAGCTCTTGAATTAACTAACGGCGTTTGGACTATTCGTTGATTTCTTTTATCGTAGAAGCATCAATGTATATAGAAAAAGTGTATTGACTTTTATGACCTGGATATATCATCGTCTTATCTGCTGGCATGTCTTCAGTTGCATAGTATTCTTGTCTTTTTCCTCCGAACTTCACGATTCTGTTTAAACTTTGAAAACTAATTTCTCCAAATCATTATCATGAGGGAGTGACAGTCTTAATTGTAGCAGGTACGAAAATACCGCTTAGTGAATAGCATATCCAAAGTTTATTTAGCACGAATAAATCCTTGCTATAAAAGCAAGTAGAGGAACATGAGTACAAATTTCGAACTTACACGTTGTGAAACTTTAGGTGTTGCGAAAAATGGTTACCTTGTCTCTTGTCAAGGAATAAACATTTCTTCCCCGTCAATTGCCCTTAAGATGCATGTCAAATAACTTATCTGAGGATGGGGGTCTTTTAGGGGTGGCATTAGATCGAAGCTTTACAATATTGTCTGAAGCAGCATCTGTTACGTTTCGTGTAAGTTTTGTGGCTCCTCGGTTTTCTCGCTTCTCCATACGGTGTACAACTAGCCTTAACGTGCGATATGGAAGGTTCTTTCGTGACATTTGTTATCTTATTTGGATTTGGGACTCTAAAATGTCCTTATGGGCATGCTAAATTTTAAATTAAACATATTGGTCATCTTAATTAGTTGGTAATTAATTCAAGTCGTTCAGCGAAACCCTTTGTTACTTTACCTGTTGTTAATCTCCATCTTGGGCCTTGCGTCAGTCATTTTTGTTTGGAGAAAAAGCAAACATGATGTTGCCAACGGTGTGGAAAATTGCATTAACAGTGGCTACTGCTGGACAGATTAGAAATATTGGTAGACCCGTTGAGAGGAAGGAAACTGTTTACTTATATGGGTGGGGATGCCATGTTTCAAGTATATAATTTTCTTGAAAGGGTGCGTTTGGTGCGTTTTAGTTCATGCCATTTCTAGGGGGACCTTTACTTCACATTTGTGGTCGTGAACCATAGTTGAATAAAGAATGGTCTTCTTAAAATATTTACGAGCTAGGATGCCTCTTTGAAAGCAAGGGTCGTGCCAAGAGAGGGGGTGTTGCCCACAACTTTGCAGCTAGATGAATTGTTAGTGATTGATAACAAATTTTTCTACACTAGTGCTTCTGCATTGAATTTCGAGGCATGTTTATAACATTCACTTTGCTATGTGGTTGCTCCATCAACCCCCACAGCTACAGTAATATTATTTTCTAAATCTTATTGTTCCACATCATGAGCACCATTATTGTCAAGGTTTAGTGGGCAAGATCGCAAACAATTATAAGTTGCAAAGCGAAACAATAGAGAACCTTGTTGACTAAGGAAAGATTGACTCAGACTTTTTGAATCTGCAGCCCTTTCATTTTCTGAGCTGTCGAAATTCATGGTTAGAAATTTAAGAAAGTAAAAAAGCTTTAAAAGGTCAGATTTTCGCGTAAACAACTTCCCTGGTTGTTATTTTTAAAAATCACTCGCTGGTTCCCTGTGCTCTGCAGTCTCATTAAGAAAGAAAAATGGCGGATGTGAAGAGGACTGTGTAATGTTAATATCGACCACTCCTTGGTAGCGCGACTAATTAAAGTCTACTTTTAGTAGGACGGATGATATGAAAATTGTGAATTCTTCCAAGAAAAGATGAAAAAGCAACTCTACAGGGTTAAGCAATTGGCTGATCAGAAAGTCGGGCGGTACGTGTTGTTACTTTGAAAAGCAATTGCCAACACTGGTGATGCATTTTAACCTCTTTTGAACTTCCACCATCTCATCATGCTAGTTTTGTGACTATGGTCATACTATTATTTAACAGTGCTTTTATGAATAAAATTCTAGTTTAAAAGATGCCTAACGTTAACAAATGTTTGTTTTGTCGGCGGTTATAAGGAGCGTGGTTTACTCCGACCTTATGTGCTTGGCTGTTGTTTTGTATTTTAGGAAAAGATCCAGCGGAAACTCATAGGCCAAACAACTTTATTGCCACACTATACGCTAATTCACTTGTTTATAACTAAAAATTCTAAATGCTGTTTACATCCTATGTTGTATTTTCCGTGTGTAAGCACCATTTCCGTTTACACAAACACTTCCAAAAGACCAAGGAAGTAAGATTTGCTATCAGAACGTGGCCATTTTGGTAGCTTTCAAACTTTGAATTTTCTTTCCAGTATCTATCCGCTCGAATAAGTAAGCAAAGACTTGTCTAGGATAAGGTTACCAAGCACAAATACAACATTTCTTTAATGAAACCATTGATTTCAAGGGTAAACCCAAATCAACTTCTGTTGTATTTAAACCAATAAATTATACATAAGTTCATGAGACCAAAATAGATATTTTTCTAAAGAAAATTTACAAGATGATTTGTACATTGTCACAAACTTTATACTCCAATAGATAAGTTCAGTTAAAAATTAAAAAAACCAAACATTGTGACTACAATATTTCTGCATCTGATTCACCAGATGATTCCGCTTCTGTGTAGTGCTGAAATTTTTTCTCGTTTGTTTTTACAGGGCAGAAAAAACTGAGCTACTTTCAGAAGACTTGCAACATGTAAGGAAATATATTTATATTGTAGTTTGCCATATTGCCATATTCAAAATTGTGATTCTTTGCAAGATATTTCTTTGCTGGTATATGCAGCTGGAAACTTTGTTATATATCAAGATAGCTTGTGATTCAGTCTCTGCATCAAAACACAACCTATTTTAATGCAAGGAGTTATTAGTTTGCCTGGACTTTGATTGGGTTTGACATCAGTGCTTCAGACTTGAGGCTGCCTTTTTTGTCAGCCATGCACTTGCTTAAACAATAAGCCACATTGCCACAAGCCATTATGTTGAAAGTTAAAGTGAAATGATATAAACAATATAATTTAAACTACTATAAACATAGGTACTTAGTACTTTTTGTTGTACCCTTCTTAAGAACATGAAATGACTTAATTATACCATGCCAAAGTTTATGACAAGCTTATTTAATGCCATAGCAACATCATCTTTTTCTCTGCTTTCATGCTAATAGATAAAAAGTACATATTTTCCGTTTGGGAATCTGCATTTTAACAGTTTATGAACCAGCATCTGCATTAGTTACTTCCATCTAGCATCTGCATTACAATAGCAAGCTATTTGCATACATGACTGGGCATATATTTTGGATTTTCAGTTTCTACCATTTTTTATTGCACTTTCATTAGTATTGATGCTCTGTCATGCAGCCAATATGTTTTGTAGCCATACAATGAGCTTGAGGCCAGGAAAAGCTTTCTGGGTGGGAAGGTTTTGGGGGGGCTAAAGCCACATGTTGTCGCATAGTAAATAAACCTGAAAATAGTATTTTCATCCATCTTGGGGGCATGGCCCCTCCCCTAACCACAATTTGACCTCAGGCCTGCCATACATCAACAGCTCAAGATATAAGTTTGGCAAAAGATTCAGTGCTTTCAGCTTTGCAATACCCAAGATATATTTTCTTAATTAACATTTTTAAAAGCTTAAGATGCTGAATAACATTTCAAATAGGATAAAATCATAAATACTTTGTTAATCATTAAACAATGTCATTTTAAAGAAGGTAACTCAAATACAGGTATGGATGTCAATGATTATTCTGCCAACATACTGCAGTCCATTTGGATTCTCTAATAATATTTTCTTAGAATACAGAATATTGCCAAAATACATGGAGAACTGATTGTTGCTGCTCATGATTTGGCACCATTAAAAGGGAAATCTAGTCTCATTTGACCAGTTATCTTAAATAATAGCAGTTATCTTAAGTAATAGCAGGAATTTGATTTCACACCTTTCAAAAAAGAATTGTAGGTTTTCAAAGATAATTGCCATTTTTATTTGCAATCATCCCTAGTGTGGAATATTATAAAAGCCATGGTTAGACATAGCAACTTTGTTTGCATTTTAAGATATTTTAGGCTCCATGAAATGTTTAAAGAGTTATTCAACAATTATTATAATTAAGCTGTTGTTTTGAATACATTTTAATTGATTCAAAATTTGACATGATGTGCGAAGTTGCTTAGTAACATACAAGGGCCCTTAGCAACCTGGAGGCCTACCCCGGACTTGGAGATCCTTATTTCTGACAAATTAAACTGTTCTTACTACTCAGAATCCTATGTGCATTTCAGTTATTATATTCTTCCCTGTTTTTATCTGTAGTTAATGATAATACATGCTTCTGATAATGTTATTGAGCTGCCTTCAGTTTTAATGAAAACATGCCATTGGTCCATAACTATTCATATGAGGACTGTTTACCAAACCCACTACTCATAATAAGCCCTTTTTGCAGAATTGTGGTAAGATGAAGCATGAAAATTCTGAAAATAGGGAGTTAGTTTAATTCAAAACAACAGTTTTTTAAGTACTCAATTTCTTATTAGCTTAGGATAAATGATATGTTGTTTATTTGACTATGTCACATTATGGGCATTATGTATCATTTTTAGGCTTTCAAATTGCTTTTGTTATATTCACTTGTTATAGCTTGTCTTATCTGCGTATATACTGATATATTGTAAAAGCATGAACTCCTTTTTCAACAATTTTTTCTCTAATGGTCCTTTAAAAATGAAGTCTTATCACAAAACAGAAAAATATACCTTTTCCTTATTTTGTGGTTTAATTGAAAAAGAATTGTGATTTTAATTTTTCTTATCATAATCAGCATGCTCAATGTTATTTACTTAAATAATCTTAGGTTGAAAAGACGGTAGAAAAGATCAAAGCTGCATGTCAGAACACGACCAAAAAACTTGTGCCATGCGTGCAAAGCAGTGGTACGGATTTAGAAAAGAGAAAGGTAAGCCAATCGATTTGGGACTTTGGATTCGGGTGATTTTGCAATTTTGAGTCTTCCACGTATTACAGTCAGTTTCTAACTCAGTTGATACATTCCGTATTCTATTTGAAAAAAACTACTAGGGGGATGTTAAGATTTTTCTGCGTTTATGGAGCCTTCATTCTAAGCTGCGGTTTGCCGTTAATCATACTTCACATTCAAGGAAAATACCAATAACATAAAAATTATGTTTATTTGTTTTCTTATTTATAGGTACGCATAGCAATAAATAATAAACTGAAATTCCGTAACAAGTACATTCTTCAATTTTGTTCTTTATTTTCTCAATACTATCCGATACTTGCACTTTTCCTAAATTGTCTTACATGGCTACTGTACCAAAGAGCAGTTCTTTTGAATGAACGCAAAGAAGAGGAGCTTTCGAAAGGAGATTTGAAGTAATACGATATATACAAAGCCTTTTTAACTAAACGGCGTTTTCTTATATGACTTTGGTACGGGGTCTAACTCTCGCTTACTATCTTTGTGAACACCTTTGGTAATATTGATGAATATTGGGAAGGAATTAAGCATGTAGACCGCAAAAGTATAGTTTTTGAACATCTTCTATTGGACTGTGGCTCAGTGCTTTTTCTGTAATAACAAAATCAGACAATTTTTCCTGCGGACATTTTATGTAATGAATTAAATTATTGAGTAATTATGTCTAGTTCGAGTCGGTATCCTTTTTTGCCTCGATTTTACAAAGCCTCATTTTCGTAACTTTGTTTCAGAAGAAGTTAAGTCAAATGACCTTGGGTCAATCGATGATTGAAAGTGCCAACCTACTGGGAGTCAATTCTTTACTAGGGTAAGAATTTGCCAGGTTTCGGGTTTCATAACACTTGAACGCCAGCAAAAGCACAGGGCTCTTAAGAGTGACGTCATAAAAGAATCTGTTTTAGAATTTGAGTATTGAATGTATAGCCTAAAAGTATACAATGAAATAACTCTAAATATAAAAAAAACTTTTAATTCTTTTTAAAAATTGGGTTGAATTTGGCCAACGCAAGATTCAAAGTTGGTTAAAGTTTTACTGTTATTTTGGTTTGGCTCGTAACGTTGAAAACCAAGACCAAATACCAATGATTTAAATGTGAAAAGCGTCATAACTTAAGAACTCTGTTGCCACCACAAAGCATTGTTTTAAATTTTTTGAATTATGTTTTTGTCGTCATTAAGTTGTAAAGAATGGGCATACTTCGTTGTGATGTTAACTTCATGTAAAATCCAGTGACGTAACACTGTTCAGGGCATCTTGGTTTGAAAGGGGTTCCCCAAGATGTTTAAATGTTCATGTTGTTAAGACTTTGCTCAAGTTCACCTTGTTTCAAAGTTTTAAAAGTTCTTTCACATAATTCAGCTCCCCCTAGTTACCGAGAAAAATTATCATTTCTGCGTCTTGCTATTCTGTTTAACACTGTATGTACCTTTGCATGGGACCTTTTTGCAGTCCGCAGACAAGAGCCCCGTTTCAGTTTTATTTCTAAGAACCCCAGGTGTCTCTGTTACGCCACTGGTAAAATCCCCAATTTCCTTAACGGCAGGTTATCGATAAGGTACAAAAACGTTCATTTATTAAAACTGTAGCCAAGCGTATTTTATTACTACTGTTTCTCTGCAAAACTTGCCACACTGTTGATACTAAAATTTGCAGATAAAAATTTGGCCTTTGAAATACTTCACAGCGCTTAGACGATGGAAGGGTCCGGGGTCAATGCCCTCTCCCTTATTTTTCTCAAAACATAGAGCTTATTGAAAAATCCTTTGATATTGGTCTTTACTTTGCCCTTGGTCCCCCTAATTCACAGCTTGCATAGGCCTCTCTTTTGTGATCTGCTATAAGTTTTTGGCGCAACGTTTTGTTTTTCATTGAATAACAATTTTTGCGGTTTTGGTCCCGAGGACGATGACGCATGTCTTTCAAAGAAATTTATATTTATCATAACAAGGAGTTATTTTTACTGATAAAGACTGATAATTGAACTAGGCGATAAAGATTGGTAAGATAATTTCGTTGTCTGCAAGTGGTCTGCTTTTTTGAATGCTTTTTTATTGAATAAAAAAGTAAGTCCAAAACAAAGGGAGGGAAAAGAAAAAGAGATGTTTGAAAATGGTTAAAATATTGATTAAGATTTCTTCACAAGGGCTTTCAATCGTTACAGCAATTGAATCTTATACCCCCGGGATGGGGAGTAACTTTTTCATGCACTGGTAGGGAAAGTGCCATTTTTGGGGTACCTTTTTGAAGTAGGAAATAACTTTTGGGGTGTCAACTTTGGTAAAATATATGGAAATATGCTTTGGGATTGATTTTTTGCATGACATTAAATGTTAGGGCATCATTTTTAAAAGAAAGGTAATATGTTTTCATACTTCAAAATGGCACACCCCCGTCCTCTGCCCATTGAAGTTACCCACGAGTACCAAAGGGATCTATGATGAATTGCAATGAGCCTTTTTATGAAAATAAACATTAATGACTATTTTAATAACTAAGTTTTTTCATTCCTTTAATTTCTATATGATTTCAGTGATCGTTTTTTCCACTTTAGATTGGTTCTCCTACGTTGCGGTGAGGCTCAGTGCGCACTGGCTGGAGAATTGGCCAATTGTGATATGGATATTGACGAGAATGTCCTCAGCCCTTTTTCCAAGATTTTAGACGTAGGTGTTATACGTACCCAGTGAACAAAGCTCACTGTGGATGTATTCTACTATTTCACTCTTGTTCTTCTCGTGTCTGTTTTTGCTTTGAAATGAATTGAATCCTTTATTACGAAACGCCTTCCAATTACGGGCTTTTTCTATTTACGGAAACATCCCAATTACGGACGCCTTCCAGGCAGGGTCGCCGTCCTAAAGAGTTAGAAAGGCGGGCTGTGCAGTAGGCAAACTCAATAGATTACAGCCATGACCACACCCTCACCACACCCAAAATACTTGCAGTTGTGTTTAAGACTATCTGTTGTGTCAAGGAATCATTCAAGGTATTCAAGAATCTATAGTATAATAAAGGATTGCTAACACAGAATTTGTCCAACGAAATATGAACTAACTAGTTAAAGGGCCCCTGAGCCCCCCTCCATGACACCAACGCTTCCAAGTGCGATTATCTCCCAATAATGGGACTTACAACTGACATCTCAAGAAACCTGCAATTACAGACGTCTCCCCTTCTGATTATGTAATCCCCTCAATTACAGAATTCTCACAATTACAAACAGTGCCCGATAACCGACCCTTTCCAGTTACTGACCCCACTCAAAAAACGAACAACTGTCACCAGCTGACCAATCCTTTTGCCCAAAATTTATTTCCCTGCGGTCAAATCCTTGTACAAGCAACAGCTAGGCAACAGTCACCTTCATAGTTATAGCCATCAAACCATCTTGACTTTTGGTGATTCACTGTATGATCTCAAAGTTGCTTTGTCAATGTAAGGTGGCCGATAAATGATAAAGTATTTGCACACATCACTGTGCAGATGGCAAATATACAAAAATACTGTACCAATGGATTCATGTAACAATGTTTCATCTCTAAAACCCCTAACCCTAAGCAATTTACTTTTTCTAATCATAAAAGTGACTGCCTTGTTACTTTTGGTGAATGCTTCAGCCATCAAACTTTCTTGATTTTAGACGTTAAGCATGAAATTAAGAAAAACTTGTTTCTCTAATATTTCTAACATACCTTACTGAATCTTTCTTTATAGATAGACTTACAAAATATACAAGCCGCAAAGAAGAAACTATCCAAAGCAAGACTTGATATGGATTCACTAAGAACCAGGTAATTTTCAGACAAAATTCTCTATTTTTTGTTTTAATGTCTACAGTAGAATCCCGTTATAACGTACTCGGCTATTGCGTACTTTCTGATATAACGTACTGGTGTGCTTGGTTCCGGCAAAAGGTGTGCTTGGTTTTAGCCAACTTTTCCTTACCCTCGTTACAACGTACTTCGGATATAACATACTTAATACACTGGTCCCTTAAAGTACGTTATAACCGGATTATACTTTATTTAAAAACCCATAGCTAACATTGAGCCATTGCGCTACGCAAGCATCCCATAATGCATTTTTAGACAGTCTGAAATCAATTTTGGTTAATCCGTTGAAGTTTACTGCCATTGTTTGGATCGTCGCCACGCTCGCAAAGGCCCATTGTTAGCAATGAGTCTTAAAAGTTTTTCATTTCAATTCTTTGGCGAAAATCCTTAGATCGTTTCGGACGTGTCGAAAAATAAGGATATATCGGGTAATAACAATGAAATATCCTTTAATTTCTTACAGTCATTGTGGATGAATAAAGAGCTTTTTGGCAGTTATGATACAAATCTTTATTTATCTAAGTTTGCATCTAATCTCTTCTATTTGGGTGGTGATTTTGTCTCAGATTTGCAATGGATGATAAATCCTATCTCAAATTTGAATTGCTTTTGCTTTCTGAAGTCTTTTTTTCTCTGTTATCTTTTATCTGCACGCCGGTTGAATTTACTGTATGCTGCAGAAATCTGTTCACGGTCTTCAAAGAAACTAATCATTTTACCGAACCAGAAGTCCCAAATAAAAAGTTTTGAAGAATCGATGGGTAGGACGGTGCTTGGAAAGATGGGGATTTTTTTAACAGAAAATCCGCAACTAAATAGAGCTACACTGTGTAATAACGTATAGATGTGACTATGACAAAGTTCAGACTGCAACTTCGCTACTAAAATGGGGCTACTCAAAATGACATAACAAAAATTTTGTATCTTTGGCATTTTGAGTAGCTTGATTTGATTTACAACCAAGAAGCCTATTTTTTTAGATGAACTGCTCTATTTGAAATTTTTTTGGAGAAAATTTTTTGTCTCTGTGTTGACGGAAGCTAAGGTTCAATTCCCCAAAACTCGCTTTGTTAAATTCCCAGGTGGCTGAACGCAGTCAAAACCTCGCATGGAGCACGAGGTGATATGGTTGCTGCAGCAAACAAAGCCGAAACACTTAAGGAGGAACTTGATAACGAGACTGCTTTGTTTCAAACTTCCCAGGACACTTTGGCTACAGAAATGTTGTCATTCGTTGCGAAGGAGCATGATCTTTCCGACTGGGTAACGAAAGTACGTGTCATCCTTTATTCGTGTGCTTTACAAAGAAAGCGGATCCTATTTTTTCACATTATTTTTACATTCATTATATCATTATTTTTATATTTTTGTATCATTCTACAGCTAATAATCCAAGCTTCAGTACACTGTTGTCGATATGCTAGTACTACTTTTGGATGCCAACAGTTTTCTGTCACGTGGATTTCCACTCACTCCGAACGATTTTGCTCACTATTGTGTCAAAGATACGTTTATGTTCTACAGCAATTTCATTTTCATAGATGTTATTCTATTTATTGTACAATATTGATTTAGACTTACATCTACAATCCTATCCTGGCCAAAACTCCATTTTCCATTTTGTCATTTATTTTTTAAGTTTCTGAAAATTACAACCGATTGCTAGTTAAACTGGCAATATGAAATAATATATCGAAGAAAGCTGAACTCAAACCCTAGACAATATGTTGACCGCCGTTCCAATCTGCCAGATTTCCACTATTTTTGTCTTCCATTTTCAGCTCTTGGAAGCACAAGAACGATACCATTACGAGTCACTACGAATTATTCAAAAGATTTTGCCAACCCTAAAAACACAAGTGGGTAAGTAATTTGAATTTCGTGCTTACCCAAAGCCTGCAATTATCTGATTTTGCCAGGTATGTAAAACAGAGCGCGCTGCATCGAAGATAAGCTTATTCAATAGATTTTCTCCAGTCTGTTGTTTTTGTGAGCCTTAACATGTTATTTTCGTTACAGATGAATCGATGTTTAGGCCAGTGTTTTGCTGTTCCCTGGAAGACCATCTCAGAGTTAACGACAGGGAAATAGCATTTGTTTTGGAAGAGTGTGTTCTATACTTGCTGGAAAATGCAATTGATGTAGAGGTATTAATGTCCAGAATCACCAAGACTATTTGTGCCTCTTATTTTCATGTCGCCAACTATAGTATTTTGAATGCCTACATCCCCGTTACCGAACATTCCAGCAGCCTTTTTATTCTTGACTCATACTTATTTCATCAATGACTCATACTTTCCATGTTCAGTGTCTCGAATAGCCGTTTTATAGGAGTTAACCAAAATGAAATACATTTATTTTATTTTCTATGCACTCTAGATCATTAAGAAGGCATACATTATGGTTGTAAATCAAAAGAGTCCTGGGCAAGAGTGCCATAGTTCCTATTGCATTATCTTTAGCATAGTGTATCTCTAGCCTGTATACCATAATGTTTATTCATATACACTACACTATGCAGCTTTTAATTCACTGCTATTGGTATTGCAGGGTATTTTCAGAATAGCGGGTAGTGCTGCAAAGATAAAGAAGCTACGAGTGAGTTTAATAAATTTTCATCTCTGTTTGTCTTTGCATCTATTTTCATGCCATTGCTATTTGCTGTCTTTAAACCACTTGAACCGCTGTTTCAACAAAAACCTGCCATTCTATTGTGGACACAGAATCTCTTGCGACAATATTTGTAACACTGTCTCGTGGAGTTTACTTGTTATTTACTTTTGCCCTGACCGGGCTATCATGATTAGGAATGAAACCTTTTTTCAAGTTAGCGCTGATATCAGGTGCCTGTGTAAACTATCATGTTACAACAGGAATAACTGTATTGATCAATTAAGCTATCGAAAGTGGATGCTGTACCATATCTCAAGTTTCATGACGTCACATTGGAAGATTGACTAAGATCGATTTTTCAAGTGACAAAAAGGGAGTTGCTTGTTGCTAGATTCATGCGAAAAGTTCAGCTCGGTTTAGTCAACAGAAATTGAGAACCTTGAAAACTCTCGTAAATTCAAAAAAATCCAAAGTCTTCAGTATAGGCAGAGTGATTTCAAATGCAATGGATTTTAAGATATTTTCAAGTATTTTCATTTTCAGTTTCTTTATATTGATTTGTATACTAACATGTATACAGCTAACTATTGAGCACTGATTCGTATGGCTGGATGTCGGTGTATGTCCAGTGCCTATATAAAACATGGAGTTACTTATTGTGTACTTTTTGGGATTGTAATTTAACGATTCTAGAGGATTTGTAATGTCCCCATCCTGCGTTCTAGCAACAAACATATTCCTAAGAAATTATTGCCCTATATTTTTCCTCTCCGTTGGTTATGTTATATGCCATCTTTTATGATTTGTTCTGATTTGATTTCCTTTGCCACATTGGAGATTTTCTATGCAGTTCGACAACCAGCGTTTCATTTACACGGTGCTTTAAGTTGATGGAATAAGTTCTCTCTTCGATGCAGGGTATATTTTGATATGAGTCGATAGCCAATTTGTGAGGTGATAAATCCCAAATTATGTGCAGTGATGAAACTCAAATTAAGAGATTTGGTATTGAAAAAGTAAAATTGCAGCAACTACCATTACCAATAGACACATAAAGCTTAAAAAAGAACATAAAAAAATTAAAGACGAGAACATAACAGTAACAACTATCATATTTATAAAAACTCTCTAAAATTTGATCGAATTCAGTATCTATTTTGATTTGTTCTTTATCTTTCCTTTGAGATCTTTATTCTCGAAATCAAGTTTAAACCTAGACTGCTTCTCCTGGTCGACATCTCTTGTAAGAATTTGACGGAAGCTGGTATAATTCGAAAGTTTCACATACAATTACATTGATAAGTGTTGTCATTTAAATTTTTTTAAAAGGCAACACCCAAATCTTCAAAAATTTTGAGTAATTGCAGCGATGAAAATTCTTTAAAACAAACCCTGCTTCGATGTAATCCCTTACCTCTAAGTCTCTACAGCTTAAATAGGTTTTGAAGCCAAAATGGTATAGCTATGACCAGTGTGACCAGATCTCAATTTTGGAATTATGCCAAATTTGTCATAAAATAATGCTAGATTTGCAAAAATTAAGCTAAATTTCAATCAAGGCACCCCTGCTTGTAAAAGAGGCTAGAGGATGCTCAGAGTATCAAAAGTGACCAAAGTTTCCATATGGCCTTTTTGACCCCCAATCTAAAACACAGTGTACTCAAAATTGCCATCTTTTCTACACAAAAAGGCAATTTAGATCAATGGTTTTGACATCCAAATTTCTTAACCCCTTGGCCGTCATAAATTGATTTGGCCGAAGAAGCAAAAGTTGGCAGAATTCTGGCAGCATGTTGCGAAAAAATCACAAAAAATGCGAAGGAAAATAAAGTTTTTACATAGATGATATGCAAATTTGTTTAAGAATGATTTCAAAAAGGCAAATAAAGAAACATGAAACAACGTAAAAGATAACAGACAATGTAAGATAAAAGTAAAAGAAAGCTTTGTAACCTACAAAGCAAATTTTGATTACACTATCACTCCCCGCAATTGTCAAGAATTTAGCTTTTTTGTGTACTGAATTTAGCTGGCTGAATTTGGCTGCCAACCATAAAATATTTGGCTGCCAACCGTTCCAAACACCTGGCTAAACCCTGAAAGTGGAAAGTCACACATTCTTGTGTAAAGTGTTTGCATTTGATGGTGATAGACAACAGATCAATGGAAACAGCGATTTTTTAAAAACTATCAAAATTATGCCAGAGTTATGCTAGATTCTAAATTATGCTAGATTATATGCTAAATGACGATTTTTGGTCAATATTATCCTGAAAGCATTATATTATGCTAGATCTGGTCACACTGGCTATAACTGTTGTATCTGATTTTCTTATACATGTGTTTTCTTGTTTAGGCTGCTTTTGATGCAGGCATTGTTGACTTGAATGAATTTGAGAACGAGGTGCATGCAGTTACAGGTATTGCCTACAATTTTGCATCAGTTTTTATTAGTCTATGTGAAATTTGCACGTCAGTTCTTAAATATTACATCATACGTCCCATCCTCAGAATATCTTTAGTTAACTAATATATTATTTTGTAAACTTATTTCTTATATTACCAATTACCAAGCTTATTTCTATATGACGCATCAAGAGATTTCAGTCTTGTTACAGTACTTTATGTTGCAATCACGAAATTTGGTCAGAAACGGATCATCAAAGTGGATTTATTAATTATTTCAAGGTTATCTTGTCAAAAGTATTGCTTTAAGTTATATACAAGAAATCTTGTTCTTAGACGCCTGGAAAATTACATCTCAAGTTTGCTATAAAATGTTTTTGGTAACTGCAAACCCTCTATGAATTTTTTTTTCCTCTAAAGAGTTTAGAATGAAAATCGGCATTGTTTGACGTGTAACCTCGTTCTTGGTTCATTTAACGATCTGAATTGTTTTCAAGGTGTAATGAAACAGTATCTGAGAGAGCTTCCAGAACCACTGCTTACATTTGAACTGTACGAAGACTGGATCAAAGCTGCAAGGTTCATTACCAGCCACTGTTTTCAGTTCATTATAAAGCCTAAAATAGTTAGCCAAGGCTCTTTATCTTGGGGTTTGGAATCTTTTTTAAGATTATTTTTGGTTTTTATCGTGATTCTGCCATCGGTCAACATCTTTAAGATCATCATCTTTCCATCTAGCAGTTTTGGAATCGTTCTTATTAATCGTTGCGTTTTTATGATTGGCCTATTTCTATCCACAACTGGGTTATTCTGACGTTTTATGCTCTGAGGAGTGTCAGACTGTTGTATAATGTTTGCTTTTTTCGAAGTCAAATTTTGTACCGCCAAAAAATTATTCACAGATTCTTTTTGGAATAAATAAATGAAATTCGCATGTCAGATTTTTTCAAAGTTTGCTTCAGAGAATCAATGTTGTGTTTTGAGTCATTTCTTTCTTCCCCACATAGCATTCCAGAACGCGATGCAAGACTTCAAGCTTTGTGGACAGTCTGTGACAGGCTACCGCATGCGAATAAAGCAAATTTAAAGTACGTTCTGTTTTGTTTTTCGACCTAGTTTATTGCATTGATTTTTAGAATATTTTTATTAAAAAATTCCCATTGACTTTATTGTTGCTAAAACTACGTGGAGTGAGAACGTGAGTTTGTCCCAAGGTGTGAAGAAATCTGGTGCTAGATCGCTTAAAGTTTATGAAAAAACCTGTAGAGTAGAATAGAATTGGCTAAATTATATTAATATATATATTTGAATATGTCATAGTATTGTGAATGTGTTCTGCTTGAAATTTTGTTATCATGTTTTGATTGATCAAATGATCGCTCTTAACCGTTAGACCGAAAGAGAATATTGATTCATTGCTCGATGCAGCGTGATTTAGCTTGAAAACTACAATCTGTAGCATGTCGGTTTTGATTATTGTAATTGATTATTGATTAATCAGCTTTTGGTAGATCGTGATTAATCAAGGTAATCATTTTCATCCTAGGTATCTAGTCTGTTTTTTGGCAAAGATCGCTGAAAATTCAGATGTCAACAAAATGACCAGCAGTAATATAGCGATCGTGATTGCCCCGAATATCATATGGGATAAAGCAGATGATTCAGGGTAAGACCTCGTAACTTTAATCCTGTTGGTTGCAATGCAGAATTAGTATTTAAATAGGGAACATGGTCTTTATATGATTGAATCAAAAAGCAGGAGCTTACTGATGACAATCAAATCCTGCCCAGCAACATAATCACTTTCTGTATTCCAAAATGAAATAACAATGAGAATACTGAAGGTGGCAGAAGAGAATTTTCCTTTTAATTTCACTAAAATAAAAAATTCGTGGATCAGACTTCTCAACGAACACGCGACCTTGCAACCCAAATGCACAGCATAAACTGTTAATTCTTTGATTCTGTTGTCTCACTAGAAGTTCTCCAATGAGGTCTGTATTAATGAGCAGCTTCAACCCAAGTTTCCAATGGAATTTTTCCTTTGAAATAGTCACTTGACAAAAGCTCATGCTCTATTTGCTTGCAAAAGATGTTTTGTAAAGTGGTGGCTAACGGTTGTTTTGAACTTCAGATCACTTGATTGCCTTAAGAATGTTAAACTCTTTTTCGAGGCAGTTACAATACCATTGGAAACTTATATGCCCTTTGTCATCAAATTGATAATTGCAAGCTGCATCAAAATGTCATTGAAGTTTGTAACTTTAACTGCTTGGTAAACATCTGCTCGTGTTAGTACTCGTTATTTTCTGCCACTATATGAAGAAAACTTTAAAGAATGCTCAATCTTATGAGTTCCAGTACTGTTGAATTGTCTTAGCTTACGAATTATTACAGTCGTAAAATCACTCTTCTTCATTTTCGTCTGGTTTATATGAAAGTTGTATCCTACAAATATCATTTTCCACTAGGTTGAATGTCTTTCAAACGGGCAATTCAACGTCAATATTAGATTCGTTGATTCAACATGCAGATTGGTTCTTTCCTGAAGGTGAGGCAATTTTTACTATACGTTTATTTCCATACGAATATCAATGAAAAGTGCAAAAAATTTAGAAAAGTACAAGATGCATTGGTTGGTTGATAGAATGACACCCCTCCCCCCCCCTCCCTTCACAATTTGTCCACAATTGCTTCAAATTTGCATTTTATCAAGAATGACTTCATCATTTAACGACTTTTTCTGACTTGCCATTTCAGGGGCAGTCTTCAAAAGACGAGAATCAGATATGAGCCCGCCACCAACTGCAACTCACGAGGAATCCACAGAGCCCTCCTTCTCAGGGGGCCTTTTAAGCGAAGTTTCGCAGCTTCTGGATTTACCTCCCTCTTCAACAGCTGGGTAGGTCATTACAACATCATAATTTCTGTATTTGTTTCTTATCGGAGCTGTGTGCTGTCTTTGTCATTGAAAAATTTAGCTTCCATAGCCATTTTAATTATTTTCACAACGGCCCATCCAATATTTCTGTTCTGTATATTGAATTTCAGATTAACTATGCTCTTTAGTAATTTATTAATTAACACTAGCTAAGCTAATTAACTAATTAACTAACACTAGCTAAGCACATGTCTTATTGTAAATGTAGTTTTTGTATATTTAGACAATGTAGTTGTTAACTTTCCCTATATAGTTTTACTGTAAGCCACTGGTCCTTATTCTCATCGAGTCGCGTTTTTTATTACTTTTCAAGCTATGCGTCTTACTTTGTTTGAGTTAAACAGAAATCCGAGGAAATAAAACCGCCTATTCATTCGATACCCAAAACAGCCGTGGCAGGTTTTATTGTAATTTTTCTTGTCGTATATCATGTTTGGGTTTCGATTTTCTTGTTTTGCAAAAGAAAAACAGTTAATTGTTCATCTTCGCAGAGAAGCGGTTATTTAAAAATTGAATGATGTTTTCGGCTATTGAAAAAATACGAACAATTTCGGTTTTTGGTAACTGCAGTTTATCGAGGCCAAGTTTGCAGGTGCAATTCTACCAATCACTGGCAATCCTACAGCTTTTTCATTTTTCCTTTTTTCCTGGTCGTGGACACTTATACCTTGTCCCAAGACCAAATCACGGCTTGTATTGTTAATGCTGACACCTGTTCGGCTATTTTTCGGCTCATTGATTTGAAATACAAGCCGTGAACAATGTACCACGAACTACAAACTATTGTGATTCTAAGACCATGAAATTGTGAGTAGCAGGTAAATCCGTTCTGTACTTGATGTTCCAATCTCCAATTCCAGGTATCCTCCAAGCCGTAAGCACAGTTGATATTTGTTCTGTGTGTAAATCAACACGTTTGACTTTCAGGTTGATGCCAAATACACCACCCGATGCCTCACCGAAGCACCATGATCCAGAAGGAAAGATCAACGGGCCACCCATGCCTAGTCGTCCACCCCCTTCATTACCCCCACGGGGTGAAGCTCCACCGTCTAGTAAACCATACGCAGGACATAAAACAGGAACGAGCACCCCTTTCCCCAATTCACCCCCGCCTGCTGTTCCGAAATCCAGACCAAAAATATCGTAGAACTGTTTATTTTTAGAGTTGTTTTATAAGTTAGAATGAGGATTTTGATGTTAGTGTTATTTTTGTAAAACAAGACCTAAATATATCAATCCAAATACACGAAATATGATTTAAAAGAGGCAGTTCATACTGGTGTAATCTTGAGCCTCTTGATTTCATAAATTTATGTTGAGAATACACTGGAACAAAGAGACAGCCTATAGGCATATACTTTTAAGAGAGATTCCCTCCTTTTCAACAAGGCTTAGCTCTCAGGAGATTAGAGTTATGATCCCAGGTATCCGGATTCATGTACGTACTACCCGATACTCTTATATTGCTTATCTTTTCCAAGTCTCTTTCCCAAATTCACGATCTCTGTCTCACAACTCATCCTTCCTTCCCCAGATCTTGTAAACTTTGGAACCCTCTACCCTTCCTGCTTCCCTGCTACCTGTCTTGATTCAAAACTAAAATTAACAAGCTTGACCTTTCCTTCCTCTCTTCCCAATACTTCCTTCCTTTCCTTGCCAGGGCTTTGCTATAGGCCCCCGAGCCTTTCCCTAACATCACTTAATTAAAAGATTCCTGTTATCAAGTCATATCATTCGTGCTATATCTATAAAGATAAGATATTATTAGCCGAATGAAAAGCATTCAGCGACTGAAGCCGAATCATATCACCGAATCGTGAATCGCGTCATCGACAAGTAAGTAGGTTATTGATTTACCCTTTGATTATTTTCGTCTGGCATACTTGGCTCTTTATTTTGAATCAGAAGAGCCATGATAAGACTTTTTTGTATGGAAACCAATCTCGGGGCTGTCAGAGACAGAATGTAATCACCTGATTCTTAAAACGAATCGTCTAGTACATTGATCAAACTGTAATAACAATCGAAAATAAAATTGCGACCTCAAGTCTCCTGAACTTTTCTCTATTGTTTGTTCTGCGCAATTTATGAGAAGATCATGAAACTTACTAAAAATGCAGAACTATAAAGCGCAAGTTAGCCCCACCTTCCCCCTTCCCCCCAACCCTCTCTCTCTGAGAAGACCTTTCTTTTGTCGGATTGGAGCTGGAATTGTCAGTCCGTTTGTTGATAAATTTCAGACGCAGTGTGATGGACAATAAACCTCCTAGAATTATCTCATTTATTTCTTGATTTTCACACATTGTCATAACGTGTATCCGCTTTTACAGAATTCTTGCTCTCTTCAGAAGATTGGGCGCTCATTAGAGAAGGGCGCTCATTGGCGAGGGGTGCTCATTGGAGCAGGGGCGGATCCAGAGCAAACTTGAAGGAGGGGCAGTTGGTAGTTTGGGGCGCTAGAAAATTTTCAAAAATTGTGGCGAGAGAACGCTGTATACAACAATTTCAGATCCATTTTCGGAATAAACAACATAACTTTGAAGTAGTCCTTGAAGCAAATTAATCTATTGGTCTAAGAAACTTTTTCACATGATTCTCATTCTTCAAAGGGGGCGCACAATTTCCAAAAAGGGGCGCCATACTTGCTTCAACTCGTCGAGGGAAGGGCAGCTGCCCCTTGTTGCCCCCCCCCCCTTAAATCCGCTACTGCATTGGAGAGGGAACGCTCGCACTCGTTGTAAAGAATACGGTAGAGGGACGTCGTTCTAAATTGCTTAGATTGTAACAGCTTTCAACTTGTTTGATGTTTTACAAAAAAGCTTGTTTGTCATCCCTGGGCTGAGGTTAATCTGAAGTGACCAAAGATATGTTGATAGAGAGGATATGCAGACAAAAGGACAAAATTTGCGATGTTTTGAATCTATTCTGTTAAGCAATACAGCAGAACTTGAAGTTCACTAAACTAAAGCTTTAAATGTGACTGACAAGCAAATAAACGATGTAAGTTGTGAGAATACACGAATCAAACTCACGATGATAGAAATGAAAACCCAAAACATTTTAACAGTCAGTGCTTTATCTTAGTTCCTTTGCAAATTATGTTAATCGTTACTCATGCATATCAAACGGGGATTTAAGGAATGAATAATAAAGTAGTCTGTGCTTAGTTTGTTGACATAGGAAGAAAGTGTTTTAAAGAGGCACGCGATAATTTCACCGAATGAAAAGGGTTAGAAGATAAGACCCTTGCTCGAAGTTATTACTCCGTCTGTTGCGAAAGTTGACACGAAAGTATCCATTAACGTTCTCTTTTTTGCAACAAAGAAGCATCTTTTCGTCTAGTTTGTGGAAAATCACAGGACTGCTGACATGGGACATGTTGTCTCCTGTTGACCTAAACAGAATCAATTTCCTAAGAGAAGGTTCCACTTCACTAAAGAGCTGTTAATAATATCCAGATGATAACCCTACTCCTAGCTCAACGCCCCTGTTTGGTAAACTACCTGCAGCCAGGCAGAAACCCGAAGGAGCACTATAGCGAGTTGCAGGTGAAAGCCATTATTCCGTGAACAATATACTGTATTATTAATCCCTTTGAAATAAACGTTTGGTCCGTAAACTAAGGTCGTCTAGTTTCAGGTGCGGTTGTGGCGAGCAAAGGCATGGATTAGCTATAATCTGTTCCGTCTGAAAACACATGTTGCAGTCGCTTTGCTGGCCGGACCTTCGCACGTCAAAGGACCAAGGGTATTAAATATTAATCGCAGTGCAATAAAAGAAGATACAGTTAAAGATGGATGAACGTGATACAGTCGTATGTGAACAAACCGTGAACAATGAGCAAACGATCGATGAGAATTCTAATTTCGTTCTATATACGAGACGCTGGGTTGTTTTGGCTGTGTTTTCTCTTGTATCGATGTCCAACGAAAGCATATGGATCAGTCTATCATCAATTACAAGTATTGTTCGACTGTATTATAGGGTCGATGCGATTACTGTGAATTGGCTTTCTATGATTTATTTAGTGTTTTTGTTACTTGTAGCGTTAAGTTCTTATTTTCTGAACAAATACGGTTTGAGAATGACTGTAATCGTCGGAGCCCTACTTAATGCACTTGGAAGTTGTTTTCGACTCGCTGGTTCTGGCCGCACTGGATTTGCTTTTGTTTTCATCGGCAGCACATTCGCTGCCATGGCGCAGTGTTTCTTGTTTTTTATACCTCCACGGCTAGCTGCTGTCTGGTTCGGCGAACACGAAAGAGCAACTGCCTCTTCGGTAGGTATGGTACTCACATTTGCTGGTGTGGCACTTGGCTTTCTCACGGCCGCTTCATTTGTCCCGTCGTCACACGATTTCGACCATGGAGTACGTGTTGGGATGTGGAATCTGCTTACGTTTCAGGCTGCCTTATGTTGTTTTCTTGCATTGGTTAGCTTTTTTACGATAAAGGATGCACCGCAAACCCCTCCAAGCAGGTCACAGCAGCTACTTAGAACTGAATCGGGGTCCATGGAGAAAAATAGGAACAATGGGGATTCCTGTTCAACACTAAACGACGAGGATCAAGCATACAATGACACTATGCCGTTAATCGACAAAAAGTCCAACGATGAAAATATATCTCAAGAAACAAAGTCACCATCGCAACTTGGTTTCAAAGAGTCGATTATTACTCTTATGAAAAGTAAACATTTTCATGCAATCTGGCATTCATTTGGTATTTATTTTGGAGTAATGAATGCTTTCGATACAGTTCTTAACTCAATAATTACTTCACGATACCCTGGCAAAGAGACTGAAATTGGGCAAATGGGGTTCATCTCTGTATTATGTGGAACAGTGGGGATGCTGGTATGTGGAATCTTAATAGACAGAACTAAATGGTATAAGCCAGTTGCGCTGGTTTGCTTTTCTGTCGGGGCAGTACTTATGGTTCTACTCGCAATAGCTTTGAAGTATCATCATAGCTTCTACTGGCTGTCTGCGCTTGTAATCCTATTTGGTACTTGTTGCCATACCTATATCAGTGGGGGCCTGGAATACGCGGCTGATACGACGTATCCTGTACACGAAGGCACATCATCTGCAGTGTTATTATTTCTTGGTAGCCTGTACAGTATAAGTTTGGTATACGTCGTGGACGCTCTTGTTCATGGTGGTAGCAGCTACCTTAGTGGATTTGTTTTCGCTGTTCTGTATGTTTTCGGGTTTATTTTAACATGCAGTGTGAGTCCTCCTTTAAAACGAACGCAAGCTGATAGAGATTTGAATTTTTAATGACGTTAATGCTTCTAAGCAAATTCCTGAAGTCCACCATTAAGTGCGGAATCATTATGTCAACCAAAGAGATTCCATTCACGTAACAGCGTCCACTTTTGAAAAATTCTAGCAGCTCTGCGTTTATTTAAAATCTCCTATCCATTTATCAATTTAACAGAAATTATTAGAGAATTATTACAGAGGGAGATATTAGAGAACTGCTATTGAACATAACGTTATTGACAGTGTCTGCTTTCTCGCTACGAAGAAAAGGAGGTTCAGTTAAGATTTGCAACCTCGTTAAAGTAAGTCAGTAATTTTTTGTTGGTGTTGAGCAACTGGCCATTTGATTTTGCAAAAATTTTGAGTTTTGAGAGAAAATTGTATTATGGGTATTTAATATTTCGGGAACGTGTAAGGTGTTGCAGGGCCTATTTTAGTGTGCAGTATTACACACTTGTGCAGTATTAATCTAAAAACGTGCAGTATTGATTTCGAAAATGTACAGTATTGAATTTTGGGATTTGTGAAAATGTCTATTTGCGGCTATCCCAGATTCCTGCTTTGTTCAAAAAGTGCGAATTTTCCTCGTCAGTTCAATATAGACTTCATGTATTGTAATTCTCGTATAACCATCGGAAAGACTCTCTTATCAAAACTTAAAACAAAGCGAAATGCCCAGAACCAAAAACAAAACATCTCCTGTAAATGTCAGCATTGCTGTAAATTTCGTAATTTGATCTTGTCGAAGATAAAACATTCAGTAATAATTTATTAGTTGCCCTATCATGCTCTGGGCAGCTAGCAGAAGCTCACTGAACTTAACAAAAAGAAAGATATAGAGCCTAATAAAACTTGTTAGTTGTACTGTCCAGACAAAGCATGAGATAGTGACTCGGTTTACAAGAGATAAATGACTATGTTTCTATTCAGGTTTTGTAGCTTCTGTTTGTTTTGTTGCTGTTTTGAAATGTTATTATTGCTTTTGTGTATATTATCGTCTATCTGTTTGTTATTTCTCCGTCATGGCCTATAGACGTGTTCAAAATTCGGGCAATTTCCTCGCTACACTTGCATGGCTAAGATACCTGGGGTTTGCAGGGGTTTGCACTGATTGCAACAACAAAATTTCCTATAAAAAATATGATTATAAATGTGCAGTATTGAAAATTTCTTAAAATGAGCCCTGAGGTGTTGATCGTGCAAAATAAATTGCGTTACCACAAAATATAAATGTTTGTTATCTTATGCTGTATTTAATACAGAACATGTTTTTGTAATCACCTAAGGTTGATTCGTTAAAATACTAAATTCATTAAGCTTTGTTGGCTGAAATCTACAGAGCAAGTAATAAAATATTTAACTCCGAACTCAATTTCTCTCTTTAATTTTTTTAAAAATTTTTAACAGTTTTTATTGTAAATTATGAAGGAAATTCTCATTTACAACTTTGAACCATCCTAAACCCTTAAACACGATTTATATGTATACAGCTCTGCCTATACGGCATGGAGCACGATAAAACAGACAGGTAAACAAATTTCGTCTTAATGAATTATTCAGGATTTGCAAGCTAGAATAGCTATAATCAATCTTTGGATCAATACGAGTGAGACACATACAGTTTTTAGCAGAAATAAAATCAAATGTTCATAAGAGATGGTAAAAATGAATTCAGAGAGCATTATAACTGACTCTGTCTATAGGGGCTTTTCAACTAACTTCAGAAATAGAAATGTTAGCAAAAAAAGTCAATTGATCCCCAAAACACGTTATTTTATCTTGAAAGTGAGGTGAGTTCCCAACTTGCGTTTCAAATTTTGCAGCCTCGATGAAATAGAAAATGATGTGCATTTGAGCGCTTTTAACCAACAGTTAAGTCTTCGATTCGTGAGGGCACCAGAATGTAGTTGCCTAGGCCAACGTATTTTGTCAATGATTATAGTGTCCCATAAAGACTCAAGCGGACCGGATAGAAAGATCACCAGGGGCGTCGTGGCGAATGAATTCTAGAGGGGGCCAGAAAGGAAAAATTTTCCGACAAGATTTCTTTTATTTATTTGAAATAGAAGCATTTCATGTAAGTGTAAAGGGGGTGAGGCAGAAAAACTCTAAACTTTTGCCTTAGCTGGAAAGAAATTCAAAATGCACTTTTTATCTTTGTCTCTGTTTCTTCGTACTTTTTCGGTGAACGCCCCTGATATCCGTAGATTAGGACAAGGGTAAAAGGAAGTTACTACCTGAAGGCGGCACCATGGTTACCGCCGAGGGGGGGGGGGGGGTTTATGATCTAATGCTTCAAAATGGTCGGAAATCGCATTATTTGAAGCAAATTCAACGATAAAAATTAAATCCTAAATTTAATATCCACTGAGGGAAATCGATGGTTTTGATCGACTTCTACCTTTTTTCACCTTACGCAACATAACTGCATAAATTTTCAAATCTGAGACACAATTTCAAAAATCTGGTGATAGGCACAAAATTGGTACTGTCCCCGTCTTCAATATAAAATGAAGATATCATTTTGACCAATTTCCATAACCAAATTTAGCCCTTGAAGTTTCGGATTTTAACAGACAAAATTCTTACAGCAAATCTCTCAATATTCTAACAGCAATAATCTAGGATATTCTTTACAAAAGTGAATTGCCTCTCGAATTTACGGTAAGTACTTTAGTCCAAGTAATTTATGTTGCTAAGAGTTCGAGAATTACCCACAGCTCAAGTTTGAGAATTTTCCGACAAAACAATTATTTTTCCGAAAATCCATCAAATTTTGAGAGCGGAGGGGGCCATGGCCCCCTGCCCTCCCCGGCCACGACGCCCCTGAAGATCACCAAAAGCAATGCCGCATATCAGTACTACAAGGGGCTTTAGTAGGCAGTGTGTAGTTCCAAATGGTTGCAATAAAGAAGACCTACGCTGGCCTTGGGACAATTGTTAGGCTGTCAGTAGCAATGCAAAAGGGAGACGGCGTGAAAAGAAAGGAATGGTGTGAAAGTTGAGAAATAGCTTAGAATGTTAATAACTTGCTTTAAATTTTTTAAATAAGATAATTAAAAAAGAATCGGATATTTTCCTATGCCTATCTTCAGAGTACTAAAAGTTCTCCAGTTTGAAGCCCGCCTTTTTGGTTTTTTGGGATGTTATTGGAAGTAATAGCAAGTATTGTTTTGTTACTTAGTATTTCAGGACAATTAGTATTTCACTTGGTATATCGACATACCAATTATCTTTGTGCTAATATTCCCTTACGTGACAAAAGTATTAGGACGATCAATAACCAAACTTTCTAGTAGTTTCAGCAAACAAATGACTCGCTAGACGCAAATATTTTATTGCTTCTCGTTCTCTTTCTGGTCTCTCTTTCTTTCTGCTTTTGTGTTTTCGGCATTGAAACTAAAACGTTGATATTTTCCGTTTCTCCCTAACATTTTGTTACTTTCCTATCATAGAAAGGTAGGAAATAACTGACCAACGTTAGGGTAACTCCAGTTAATAAGAATCTTTATTAACATAGCCACAATGTACATAGAAGGCATAAACCGTTTGAAACTTCTGTTGAAAAATGTGAAGCTCGATGAATTGTAAAGACCGCAACATTGAGAAATATAACTGACTTTAACCCCTCTCCCTCATTTTGATCATATTTAAATTTCAAACTTAGTTGTTAGAATAAAGCAGTACTTCAGGAAAAGAGCCCATGCCATGAATCCGAGGTGGCGCCAGAAATCTTCCGACAGAGGGGGTTGGAGCTTCCGACAGGGGGGCTAAAATGACTAAAATAAGCAGTTTTTTCGTACGTTATTTTGTCAAATTTGCTTTGAAATTAACCTAAAATTTCACCCGATGGGGGGGGGGGGCTAGATGCTTCCGACGGGGGGGGGCTGTAGCCCCCCTTGCCCACCCTTGGCGCCACCACTGCCATGAATAACGAAAGCAAGTGCCAAGAAATTTCAAATTGACGGAAAGGGCATGCTCGAAAAGACAGCCTCGTTCTATAACCAAATCAGAGACGTTGCCGAGCAACTGCCAGTGGTAGAAAATGGCGGACAGTCCTGACAGCCAAGATGATGATGTTTCAAGCTCGAAAACAGAGGGAGGCGATATTTTAAAGGTGAAACGAGCCTCAAATAAACATAGCACAAGAAGATTATCACTTAATGAGGGTATGAAGAATTTTCATGTTTCTGGGATGAATGCCGGATCCGAATTTGGACTAGAAGGAAAAACAACCTAATCAACGACTTCAACGTCTTCCCATTCATAGCAAAATAACAGACCCCGTTTTTTGCCTCTAACTTTTTGCCCAAAGGCCAACATCTAATGTTTTTTATTATAACATTTTTCATTACTTGAACTGAAGTCATCTAAATACTACCTCTTTTTTTGAAAATCTAAGCACTTGTAATCATAGGCCTAGATACACTACCGGGACACGAGTATTGCAACACCCTAGTCATAATGGCGTCCAAGACGTCGGCAATTGTGCAAACCCATAAATTAAAGCCAAAATATTCCATAGATCCAATATAAAAAACACTAATATGAGAGTCAAATTTTAGGAATTTTATTAAAGATTTCGAAACAAGCATGGTAACGTAAAAAATGACGCAACTATAAACAAAGCAATTGCGATGGCGAAAACAAGAGAATTACGAGACAAAGAGCAAACAGTTTTTATAATTTTAATTAAAAAGGGCCTTTCAACAAGAGAAATTTCAAAAACTGTTAGATGCCATTTTTCTACTGTTTCGAGAATTTTAAAAAAATTCGAAACTGAAGGAACGGTTCAAAAATCAAGGAGAAGTGGCAGACCAAAAAAAGTTGATGCTAAGAGTGAATGAATGGTTACTCGAATAATGAAACGTCACAGGTTTGACAAATTAAGCGTCATAGCAGACGACTCTAACCAATTTTACCCTGGTAGCAGAGTGTCAAAAAATTATGTAAAATGCATTTAATGCAAGTATGGCATTCGCAGCTATATAAGAAAAAGAAAACCATTTGTTTCTTTGGAAAACAGAAGGAAACCTGTCCAGTGGGCAAAAGTTCTAAAAGATTGGCAGGTCAAAGACTGGGAAAATGTTATTTTCTCAGATGATTGTCAGTTTTGCTTAACAAATGACAGCAAAACATTGAGAGTTTGGCGGACAACTGGTAAAGGAGATGGCCGTCACTTTTTTGCCTCGAAGTTCTCCAATTCAATGTCAGTTATGTTTTGGGGTTCAATTGGGCTTAAAGGAGTCGGAAGACTCGCTTTTTGTGATGGGCGAGTCAATGCAGAAAAATATGTCAAAATACTGCAAGATAATCTGTTTGGAGGAATAAAATCGAAGCTTGGAAAACAAGGGGAGCCATTTATTGTCCAACAAGACAATGCACCCCCTCACAAAGCAATTTTTACAAAAGTTTACCTGAGAATCCAAAAGCTCAGTGTCCTTCCTTGGCCTGCACAAAGCTCCAACCTAAATATCATTGAAAATGTCTGGTTGCGAATGAAAAACCAAATGATTGCTGATCCACAAGGTCCTCCAAGGTCTAAACAAGCACTTATTGGAAAAGTTCATGAAGAATGGAAGAAAATCTTGGAGAAATTCATATAAAAACTTTATGTATCAATTCTGAAGGGACTTTCAACCAGAAGCTACCCCACAGAGCCAGAGGCTACCCCATAAAATACTAGTTTAAACCAAAAGTTATTGCAACTGTTAATTCTAAATTTTTAAAAATGAAAATGGAATATTCTAAGTTACGCTTCATTGAATTTGCAGTTTTATTTGCGCGCCAATGGCTGATTAAACAATATCTTAATCAGACAACAATAAAGTCATTGCATGATCCGCCATTCATTGCCTTCATGGGAGTTGCAATACTTTTGTCTAGGTGGTGTATTTTTGTGACTTGTCCATTGTGATTTGTAAAAATTTTGTATTCAAAAGGGGTTTGTTCCTGCCTAGCAATCATATAATGGTTATGAGTATATTATTAAAAGTTTCATTTCACTGACTGGCCAAAACAGCACTAAAAAAGGGACCTGACAATTTTCAATGGGCCCAATGACTCATGTTGGTGAATTTTGTATTTTTATCATCTCCCAAAAGTAGTTTTAGGACACTGGGAAGCTGTGCTTATCGAGCAGTGTCTTGGTCCTTCCTATAGATATTTCCACATCTTGTGATTCCTACACCTGGGACTTGACTGAGCTAGTGAGTGACTCTCCTGGTTCTTAGTTAAAGTCTGGTCATCTCAGAGTCTGTAGCCAGAGCCTCTGGCCACTGAGCCATCCTCCCACAGGAACATTAATAAACAAAATCTCATGTTGATGCAGGAAAAGCCCCTTCCAAGGAACCTGCACTTTTTTGCAACCTGCTGACCTAAAGATTACTGCTTACAGGAAACATTTCAGAAGATAGACACTGTGCTATTTTATTCTTTTTGTGCCAGATAATCATATACAAGCATGGCTTGGATTCCAAATTGCAAAGTAGAACAACAGGTCTCCATCAGAATTGATATGGATTTAAAACAGCACCAATTCTTTGTTGTAATGATTAAGAGTAAGTTGTTTATCATCATTGAAATGCATATGGGCAATGTATTTATTTCAACGTGTTTCTTTATTCAAAGGTGATCATTTTATCAATAGAATGGATCAGCTGAATGATAAAATAGCTACTCTATCTGTCTGCCTGGACGATTTTGACCAATCAAATGTGATGCCACAACTAGTTGCTGATAATCAGATTGGTGATCCTTTTTTGGTAAACAATTCGGCTGATGGAGATGGAGATTTTGATGAAATATCTGGCTTTGGATATATGAAAGAAAATGAATCATTGAAGAAAAAGTCCAAGCAAGGTTGTTTAAATTTTTGCCCTGCTCTTTAATTTTAGTCAGATATTACTTTTTATGAACAAAAAGATGCATTTATTTTAATTGATAACTTTGATTATAAAAACTAAGTTGTTAACTTTCAATTGTTTCCTAATCGGTTATGTTAACATTATTTCAATGGCCATTTATGTTTAAAATTTTCATGAATTGTCTTTTATGATTTTTTTATTTTATATTTTTTTAATGGTGTCATTGAAATAAAAGTCAAATTTGAAGGATCCTGCAACCTTTCTGTTGCAACCCTCCAAGGCCAGCACATGCACAGTCCAAAAGTTAAATCCCACATCAACACCCTGTAAATGTCTTAATATATTGGCAAGCAAAGGACAAAATCTTTTCCTTCCAACCCTTTTTCTCTTCACCACCAAGTGCCTCTGTCACCAAACGTAACAATAAAGGGATTCTACATATTACAGTGAATAACAAACTTGTGGACCGATGGGCTAGGCCAATGGACCTAAGCCCCAAATAGATAACATGCAAAAGATACTCTTTGTTTCATGTTCTTGGTATTATCAAAAAAGTACCACAGCATTGTCTAGTCCAAGTGACCACAGCATCATCTTGATGGATTTTGTTTGTTTTGTTAATTGATTTGCAAATTATCTTGGTGTTATTTTCAGGTTCTTTCATTGACAAGTAGTCAGAAAATACTTAATTCTTATTTTGCTTGTTGTCATAACCATTTTTTTCAGATGAGCAGACCAGGACATTTGAGGAGAGCCATAGCTCTTGCTGAAGAGGAGCTACAAATTAATAATAATGATAATAAATAATATATATACAGGTTTACTTGGTCAGGATAAGTATCCTGTTATCATTCAAGGACCTGTTGAACGAAAAATGCTAAAAAGATATATAAACATTACAGGATGGTTAAAACTGTTTTAAGAATTGTTCCATTAAAATCCTTTATAAGAGCATAATTTTTGTTTAAAATGATTGCTCTCCTAAATTGCTCTGAAAAAGCAAACTGCTCTCCTTGAAATTCATGTTTCCATTGTTTTTATTCTTATTTATCTACAAAAAGCTCACCTGGAAATTGCTAGGAGAGCTGTTTATTGCTCCCCCGTTAAATTCTTATGGCCATGCCTGGATAAGCATTGTTACACCTCTCTTTATAATTTCTACCTTTTTTCTATACCTTGATAAGCCTCACCCAAATTTTACACTGACCTTTTGTCAGAATTATGCTATGTTTGCCCTTTTTTGTGAGACTAACCACCGGGGCTTGACATAAAATAATAAGTTTCTTATTTTCTTTTAGCCCTGAACAGCAAGGAACTGGATCAGTTTGCAGGAATGTATAGCATCAAAATGGGTAAAGATTTTCAAGTCATCTTACTTTCATCAAAATGAACCCCAGAACCTTGAAGTCAAACCCTCTATTATAGGCCTTATTATAGGTTTGCAGCTTCATGTGACACATGGACACATGGATTTGGTAATGAATTTTCTGCAGATTGCAGCTTTACCAGTAGGTGTGTCATGCATTATTGGGTGTGAATTGGAATTGGGAATAGCACAGTGAACAGATAGAAATCAGTTTTAGGCCATTGTTTGAATCTCTCGTTATTAGAAGACATTTGAAGACTTTCGTTTTCCTATGATTCAAAACTGAAATATGATAAGTAATGATATGTTTATAATAAGTTTGTTGTCTACTGTTGCCAAAAAGTGGTGCTACTACTATTGCTAAACATAAGGCCCCCCTGGCCATGCTATAGAAACTAGAGACTTTGTCCTATGGCTAGAGAGGGCATTTTCTTTGAGATTGCCCCAGTGAACCCAAGACACTTTTGTTTCATTACAGACCTTTTTACAAAGCCTTTTCAATTTAAACAACCCATTCCACGAGGAACACAATTCAATTCTTAATTTTGATTTATACATGCTGATAGACAAGATTTTGAAAATTGATTAAGAAAGGGTTTTAATCCTGTTATCCTAAATATTTTGCAAGTGAAGAAAATTTGAATTTTACACAATGCTTAAAAGACTGGGGTAAGGAAGACTGGACATCAATCATTTATCATCTAGGACATCATTTAACAGCAAAAGTTAATTGACTTTTCCTTCAAATAATCTGTCTCTTTCTTGAATATCAAAGCCTTTCTAATCTGACAAATTTTTTCTGTTTAAGAAAGACTGCATTCATCACTGCATACAGTAGGGGATTTACTTCATACTCATGTTACCAGAGAAGAAGCTATGGCCATAACATATCTTTGGAGCTCAGAATCACTCTCACCATTGAATTTGGTTAGAGAAGTTTTATGCAGAAATTGCTAGGGATAAGGTTTTTCTTTTAATGAGATTATAAAAGAAGTTGCTTTAATTTGTTGTAACTTTTTTATTATACAGTTCTCAGTCAAAGTTTGCACAACACCAGCCATCATTCATCTTTAAAGAGCTTTAGGAAAGTAAGTATACAGAATTGAATGAAAGAATTATTTGTCAGATGTGCAATATTGAAAGGGGGCTACTGGAGGCACATATTCCCCTTCCTTTTTTATCAATGTCATGTTATATATTCCAATTGTCATGTTAGCTCAAAATAATGGCATCCCTTTCCAAAATATTATGCGCTCTCTCTCTACTCCTCCAAATATATGAAAAAGCCAATGGAGTTGTAATTGATTATTACCATTCAAGAGTGAAAATTGAGTTGCTAAATGTTCTTCAATTCTTCACCAATTGTGGAACAGGTAGATAAGAAATCATTTTAGATGGACTAGTAAAAATTTAATTTTCTTAAAAATCTTCTTATTTCTACAACTCTCTTCTAAAACTTTTACTCCCTTCATTTAAAAGCATTTATTTTTCTTTTATGCTGTTTAAATCTAACTTAGTTATATTTATATGAACTATTTTTTTAGAGAATGCAAAGTAAAATCGGAATGTCCGAGGTACGTGTTCGTTTGATGGCATTTTAAATACTTTGCACCAAATGATAATGCCTTCAAATTTAATATCCTGCGCTTCAAATGCTGCGTAAAATTAACACCTTTGTTGTGATAAAATGAAAAGTTCGACTGATCACGGAATTCCGCAATATTGTATACATTTCAACAGGCAAATTGAAGAAATGTGATTAAAAATTGCTTGAAACCCTAGGACGCACCAATGAGGGAAATTCATACCCCCGTGCAAAGTTTTATCTGTTATTGGACGATATTCCTCCTGGAAGACATAATGGGAATTGAAAAAAGAAAACTGCCATTGATCATGGTCTGATGTCTCTTAATCAGCAAAGTAGCCAATATTTTACTCTGAAACAGAGTACTTTCATTTGAGATTCCATTTCTTACTTGATTCCAAATGCGCTGCTGCTCCCTGCGCTGCTGTGTGCTTCAGGTTTTGAACCAATGTTTGTGGTCTCCTTGGGCAACATTTTTTTTGCAGTTGGCTCAAACCATGGAATTACAAATATCCCCAAATTTTATATGCTGGGGGTCTAAAACAGCAGGGGAATGACCGACTTCACATCGACAAGCTCCCAACTTTAGGATAATGTCAGGTAGCAGCTTCTGAAATTTTCTTCTCCATTTGGTGCTGTTAAAAAATCTTTTATAGTTCGTTTAAAAAGTATAGGTTTTTTGAAGCTGCTCGAGATATAGATAAGGCAACGCATAGGGATGTACCGGATATCCGGTAGGCCGGATAATCCGGCGCCGGATCGTTGATTTTTTGAAAATCCGGTTCCGGCCGGATTTGTTTCCGAAATCCGGCCAGTTGCCGGATTTTCCAGAACTTTAAAGGGGAACTGAAGTGAAAAATGAAAATCAATTATTTAGTAGTTTTCATCGTGCTGATTTCGAATATCGACACGAAATTAGTGTTTTTCTTTTCGTTTTCCTGCATTCACAACGCGAAGTGTGAAATTTCTCCATTTCCGTGGCGGAGAGGTCTGGAGACAAGTTTCAGGCGCTGACGTAAAGTCGTGGACACGTGCCCCGATCGCAACGAAAACAACATTGTAGTAGGTAGTAGAGTGAATCGGAGGGAGGGAATTCGGTTAGTGGTTAGAATTTCAGTTCGCAATTTTCACGACAGCTCTTCAGGAATGACAACAGACTTAAGATCGAGCGACGATGAATCTGGAGCATGTGGTGGTGAAGTACTTGCCCTACCAAGGGCGAACGGGAACTGCGAAAGTGGCGATGAAGATTAGCCTAGGCCCGATGAGATCCCAGAGGCTGAGGATGAATTATCTCCCGCGACGTGCTCGTTTTGTCGGTAGAAATGAGGAAGTAAATCAATGGTACGTCGATCTTTGTCTCTTTTCTGACAATGAAGGCAAGAACAACTCAAACACAATTTCCTTATTTCCTTATAAAAAGTAAGATACAACTGAGAATGTAGGCTACATATTATAATCTTTCCATTTCTAAAATCTGAAATAATAAGGATTATTACATGTTACAATTTAATAAATATTTGCTTTGATATAAAACGTTTATACATAGTTTGATGTGTAGCACGGAACAGGTCGACCTAATCCACTTTGGTTTAAAAACTGGCTTGTTTTTTGTACATTGACAAGTATTATTAAATCTTACTGCAATTAAGATTTTTGGACTGATAATTCGAAAATGTCAAATATTTAATAGAATTGCATAAATATGCCTAAAATACATTAATACCTAAAATTATATCCATTTTGCTAGGTATCTACAAACAGTGGCCGATCAATGGATGGTTTGCTGGTTTTTGGGTATTTGTGCTGGAAAAACTGGACAACTTTAAGTATGAATTTATCACAAAATGTAAAGAAAAGAACTTTAGTCAAAGATAACAAGAGTTTCAAAATTCTGCAGAGAGACAATGAAAATGCAAAACTCAGCTACCTACTACATATACAGTGGAGTACAGGGTTATATACAGGGGTTATTCAAAGGGACCAGACTTTCAGTTCATAATAGCAAGAAGAGAAATTTAGAACTAGTGGGGTCATGTTATAAGTTAGAAATTTGTTAAAACTAGTGGGGCAATGGCCAAATCTTGTCAGCCCTAGGCCAAATCACTAGATTAGTCACATCAAGGGGGGGAGGGGTTGGGGATTGAGCAAGGCTTGATATTTTCAAGATTCCTAAGGTATATTTTTCAAGATATTTTACTCACATCAAAATGTGTAGAATAGTTTGGATTTGATAAAGTTTTTCTCTTACAATAATGGTCCTGTACCACCTGCTTGGTAACATTTTTTATACATAATCAGAAGAAAATGTTTTACCTTCACAGTACAATGTTCTTTTAATGTATTCTGTCACTGCCTGTTGTTTAGATACACTGTTTTCAAATTTTGAGAATGAAGTTTTTGGTACCCAATGGTTATATTTTTCTGAAATTTGCTTCGACTCAACATTTTTCATAGAACAGTTATGAGATAGAAACCCTGACATATCTTTTGTTAAGATAGAGTCTTTTAATAAACTTGGAAACATATACATCATTTAATGTTGTGCTTTAAATCCTTCTCCTTTATGTACATCCTAGTATGAATTGTTTTTTGTGCCTGGAGTTATACCAGAAAATGCTTTGATATCATGTTCTATATCTGGTATTTCTGAGGTGGGGGACTACTTTTGTTTTTTTCAGCAAACCGAATTGTGTAGGTTTGGCAAGTTTCATGGCTCTACAGCTAACAGAAATGGATTAACCATAGTTATGTCCTCTGAGTGCTGGGCACAGGACCCCCATTCTAAAACTAGCGAAAGAGGTATTTCTGAAGTGGGGACCACTCAATCATTTTCTGCAAGTAAATTATGTGGGTTTGCCAAGTTTCATGGCTGTATAGTTAACAGAAATAGATTTACCATACTAATGTATTCTGAGTACTGGGCACAAGTACCCCAGTCTAAAAATAGCACAAGGGGTATTTCAGAGGGTGGGGACCATTCTAAAACTAGCGAAAGAGGTATTTCTGAAGTGGGGACCACTCAATCATTTTCTGCAAGTAAATTATGTGGGTTTGCCAAGTTTCATGGCTGTATAGTTAACAGAAATAGATTTACCATACTAATGTATTCTGAGTACTGGGCACAAGTACCCCAGTCTAAAAATAGCACAAGGGGTATTTCTGAGGGTGGGGACCATTCTTATCATTTTCAGCAAGTCAAATTGTGTCGGTTTGCCAAGTTTCATGGCTGTATAGTTAACAGAAATAGATTGACCATACTAATGTATTCTGAGTACTGGGCACAAGTACCCCAGTCTAAAAATAGCACAAGGGGTATTTCTGAGGATGGGGACCATTCTTATCATTTTCAGCAAGTCAAATTTTGTCGGTTTGCCAAGTTTCATGGTTGTATAGTTAACAGAAATAGATTGACCATACTAACGTATTTTGAGTACTGGGCACAAGTACCCCAGGCTAAAAATAGCACAAGGGTTTTTTTCCCAAAATGATTCTATATTCTATCTTGTTACGCATACCGAATTCTATATTTTCACCAGGTTTCATGCTTTTATCACAATTTTCACGATTGTTATCTGTCATGAACCTTATCAAACTCACTACTACATTACATCAAAACATCTCTTCGTGTCCACCACTTTACGTCACAAGGTCACGTGACACAGTGGTCCGACCGCGTTCTCGCTCCGCCATCGATGAGGGCAAATTTCGACTTTAAAAACTTCATAACTTAAAAACTACATAACGTATTAAAAAAATTCAAACGGTTTTGGAATCAGCACGGGAACCTTTATCAGTGGTAAAAAAATCGTTTTTCACTTCAGTTCCCCTTTAATCATAACTAAGAAAATTTGGAAAACCAAGTCAGACTCCCTTCATACAGTGATTAAAAATGGATTTTCCAGAACTAAACAATATCGATGATAAAACAAGCGCCTTAAAAACAGATTTGAAATGAAAGTGCTCGTCATCACGAAACAGGAAGACTGGATGATATAATTCACAGATTTGGTCCAGGGTTGCCAGATCGGCTTTTTAGGCCAAATTTTTCATTTTTGGCTTTTAGATTCAGATTGCCTGGAAAAATTGTTTTTTGCTTACTACTTAAATTTGACCTTGTTGGCCTTTTCAGCAGACGTCCAAAATTAATTACTAGTAAATAATTAGTAGTAATTACTAGTAAATAAGTAATTACTACATTCATAGAATAATTAGTAGTTAACTACAAAGTGTTAACCAAATTTCAAATTTTATCACCTAACCTAAATATTATCTTGATATTAGCAAAGGGTTTTGGAAAAAAGTAAGATTCTTATCAAAGTTAAGAAATTATCTAACAGGCACAAGCGTAGAAATATAACCAGTGCTTGCTCGATGGATTCTTGAGAGAGTTTTTGATTTGGCCTTTTTATGAGCATTTTGGCTTAAATTGCTCACCAGTTTAGCCTTCGTTTGTAAATTCAATCTGGCAACCCTCAATAGGTCTCTTTGATCTTCTCGCTATACATTTTTTCGCAAAGTGGCTCAAAACTTTTTATTACTGAAAATTCTATAAATGGTCAGATTATCCGGTAGAATCCGGCCGGATATTCCACGAAGAAATCCGGTAAATCCGGTTCCGGCCGAATTCTGAAAATCCTGATCCGGTACACCCCTAGCAACGCAAATAGACATTTGCTTATATGCCCTATGTAAAAAACCAAGATTTTTTTAATTTTGTTTGAGGCCCTTTTAAGGATTTTAAACTTATCTAATTACCTGCGTTTTCGATGAATGGGTGCTTTCTATTTCAATGGCAATTTGCAGCAATGAAGTGAGAGTAATGTCTTCTCTCGAAGCAATGTGTCCTCAGTTCTCCTTCTTTTTAAAATCATTTTTATCCTCAGTCATCTCACAGCCTAAACAAAAAGCCAATGCTGGTTGAGCTGCACTCATTTCCTGGTTACGACAGTGACGAAATTACGCCACTGCCGTCCCCAATCACCGCTTTAGATATTTTGAAGATCGTTACGGCTGCACAGCTAGATCTCGAAAGGAAAGTGAGTATAAAGAATTCGTAATCTTAATATTTAAGTAAAATTTTTCGCTTGGATTGACAGGTATTCGCTTCAAAATATAAGATTATTCGACTCTTGTCATTGACACTGTTAATGTGTAACAGACGGTTCCTACAAAAAATTTACTTGATGTCACATCAAGCAGGGTTTTCATTATGCTCAACTGCTTTTCTACTCTTGTGCTACAAAGAATGAAAATGGAGAATACCCTTCAGTTCCAGTCTAGCATATTTTAGAGTTCTGTCTAGCATATTTCCTAGGTCAGAACTTAATTTTAAACGAAAGAAAAAGTAATTCTTTGGATAAGACATTCAAAATTTAGTCTTTGGTTTTAGATGTTTTTACAGGGTAATTATTTACACAGGTTTGGCTTTCAGTAGCAGCAATTTAGGGCTCTCCAATGGAAGCTTTTGGTAATATACTGCCAAAATATTTAAGCTATTTTCAACAACAGGAATGAATATATTTCAAACCAAAACCTTACTTGCAGAAAATTTTGTTTTAGGGTCAAATAAAAAATTTTTAAACTCATCAATATTCATATCAAGTACTGAGTTTTTATTCATTTAATAGACAACAACTTTTGCCCTTACTTCCCCACTTTGATGTAATGCAGTATATTAGTTTAGTCGTTTTATAGTCTTTCTGCCGAAAGTTTTTACCCCCTTCCATTACAATATTAGTATATGCCTCTTAGAATGGATCTGTTGTTGTCAGTCTACTCTTGTCAGTGTAGAGACCAGAGGTAAAAAGCTGAGGAAAGCTCAGGGGGCTGAGTCCCCCTTGTAAATGTTAAAATTGCATCCTTTCTCCTTTTTGCTATTGTTTTTCAGAATTTCTTGGTGTGGGTCCCATTGTACTTTTCATAGCAGCAAATGCCTGGTAGAGACTGTTTTAAATTTTGTTTTTTTATGAAGAAATATCTCTCGTTGTAGCCAACCTTCAAAAGAGAATTCACAAAGTTTTTTTATTCCCGCCTATCTCAAGCTATACTTTGCGTAAGTATTATTTGTAAACTGTACTAGAACACACTTCTAAAGACATGTAAACGTTGAGGTGACACATTTGATTTCAAAACTTCTAGAGAAAATATTGGATATTTTGTGTTAGTGCATTTAAGTATTACTTTGTATTCATCGAAGTAGGTTTTGATTCAAAGGAGCCAGATAACTGCAATTGACTAGATTTAAATTTAAGGATTACTGCAGATATTTTTGGAATTGAGTGTCTTTTCTAACTATGTTTCGAAAGAGTAGGTCGACGAGGTTAGATTTTATGATCTCCACTGATCATTGATATTTGCACTTCGTGAATTTTTTTAAGTGAGTTCGTGGATTTTAGTTCAAAACTTTATTTTCATTTCAGCAAACATATATCATTCCTTGCCCTGCTATGATATGAAAGACAAAGTCTTTTAATATGTGGTTCACTGTTGTTATGAAAGATACCATTGCTCCAGATTTTGATTTGATTATTTTTCTACTTGTAGGACACTTTTTGGTGGTATTTTTGTGAAAAATATCAAGTAGGTTCATTACGTTTTTGATTATTTCAGCGAACTAAGAATAAGAATTCTAATGATAGGAATACTCTCAGACAATCTTATTTCTTTGAACATTAATTTTTAGACATATTTATTTGTTTAAAAGAGCAAAATAGTCTGTGAAAAATGTTTCGCTAAAAGATCCTTCCACTGCCTGCTTGAAAAGTACGCTAGGTCACTCTTGCTATACATACTTACCCAACAGCCAAGCACTTTGCCATGACTTCTAAAACTCACTATTTTCACAGTTTTCATTTTCACAGCTTTTTTCATAACAATTTGTTTTTGTAATGAACTTTGTTATCTATGCGCATATTTGGTTTCATATCATTGTAATACTTATTGTTTTGTTATTTTGTGCATTTTACCTAATTCTAACTTTATAAAGCTGTCTAGCACTTAGATTGCCCGGTTCGCAACCTCATTTTTGTTTACGTCGTTGTGTCCTGAGATTTTCTTGAAATTCTTTCTTCTGTTTCCTTTTGCTCTTTGAGAATTGATGTCTGATGATACGACAAAACTTTCATTATCGTGAATAATATTTAGTCAACTTTAGAACTGTATTTGATTATAATGTCCTTTGCAAATTACACGACTTTCTGATTAAAAACTTTTTTCTCCTAGCAAACACCCGAGTCACAGGAAAAGCTGTTCAATCGTGTTGCCCACAACTATACAAAATTGTTGATAAGATGGATTGGCTCCAAGTATCAGGGCACGATATTCAATGTAATATTTCTCAATATATTATGCTAATGCATCCTCTTTATATCATTCTATGTTATTGAGCATTATTTTAACATGGTTTGTAGACCGGTGAACCTTTAATATCACATGTATTTAGGTCTTCACGCAACACTTGGATCAACAGGCGTTAGATACACAAACACTGCTAAAGTTTTAGTATCATATTTTGCATTGTAATCAGTTGTAACATTCAAAAGGGTTAGCCGGGGCATATCATACCATGTTCTGTTAAACCGTTTTTAACTCTTACAAAGCAAAACTCCGTCTGAATTATGTTGCCTATGGTCGGGTAGCTACTAGGCATGGGCGCAGTGTGTGTTGCACCATATCGTACTAGGCTACGCCCAGAAGAGTACGATGTTTTCAAAGAATTTAGTTCAACGTACATGCTCGTAGCAACAATGATCCTTGTACGACCCGAAAACGTTATGAATTTATTTATTATTTTTGCATCAAAGCATATGTACCAATGCAAGGCTTCAAAACAATAAATTTACGCTGTCGCTAAAAACATCAAAATGTTTTTTGGAACTTGAAGATTTTATTCATTGCCTTTCGATTTTCTATCCTAGCGATATCCAGACATATTGGCCCAGTCAGTTTATGCTACATTCTGCCAAGCATTTCCGACATCGTATCGCCAGTTTGATGACAAGTTCAAAGATGATCTCATTTTTCTTGTGCAGCAGTGGATCACAGGTATGTTAAGCCAGGAACTTTTCAAAGCCAGGAGCTTTGTTCAGCCATGCAAACAATGAAAAGTTAAGGAGAATTTATGAAAGTAAAGGGCCTATGAAATGGAATTTTTTTGCAGAAATACTTTAAGTTTTGTTGCTAAATAATGTTTGGATCTTCGTGCATAATTTTGTAGAGTGCATGCAAGTGTTCCTTTTTCCATCCCATTAATTCTTTGAAAAGGTCAACTGCCCGAATACCTTTCTCTTGAACGTCCTTGGAAACTTCAAACTATTCTCTCTGATATCCTCACTCTTCCCACTCTCCGGCAATATTGATCTCATAAAAACAATACTGAAGTGCTCAACACTTTGATAAGATGTAGTAAGATGCATGTATTTTGCGATAATCAACATTCTTGCTACAAACTCAGGTACTCGTCCAGCGCCAAGAGCTTTCGAGAAATGGAACTTTGAAGGACTTGAGCCGAGTGACATAAGAAAAGGAGATAAGCATCATATTGATTCTTCTAAAAAATGTAAGACATTCATATCTTGCATTTTAATGTTGAATTTAGACTGTGTGGTATGTTGATTTTAGCATAGAGTTCTTAAGAGATGGAGTCATAAAAATATGATTCTAGTATCTTTGAATTTGGACCAAAAAATCTTATTTGAATCCCTATAATTTATCTTTTCTTCAAAATCTTCTGTTGTGACTTTAAAATGATACAGCTATGTATGAGATTCAGATTGTTTAATATTTTTGGACTGAATGTTATACGTTTTCCTTCTTCAAATTCCCGCATTGAGGATTAATGACATTTCCAACAGGGGACGTTCTAGCTCAATTTATTTGTCCACAGAGCTGGTCTATTCATTCATCTACACCCCTTGTTTGCTAATGCTACTTGTAATTTTTCAATATTGGTAAACCCTTTTCACATACTTTTTAACTTTTAACCTATTCAGTTGATCAGCTCATCCAAGATGACTTGTCCTTTAGAGCAATCTAAAATAGGATTTAAGGTTTCGATCCATTAATCTATTGTTGAGAATTTCAAGGGGCTTCCTTGCTTCTTCTTACGTTATTTCTCTGTTTGATTCATTAGCAAAACGATCTGATCTGGAACTGGATTTAAATGAGGACACTCTGGGCCTTTTAAGACTTTCAGATTCAAAACAGAAAGCAGCAACATCATCACAAATCAGTGGTCAAACTAGAAGCAGGCGGATAAGCCGTGCTGCTCCGCTGCCGGCATCGAAGCGTGGAAACCTACTTTTGCCGTCAATCCAGGAGCCTGGTGATAAAGAAGACGTCACAGTATCACATTCTGCAATAAAAATCTTGCAACATTCAGATGCTGAGAATGAGCCTGATCGAGCGACAGTCAGCGTCATGCCAGCAGTTCGATTGATGCCAACAATGAAAACAAAACGAGAGGTACAAGCTTGAATCCTTTCACAAAAATTCATTCGTTTTCATGATAATTGATTCTGTGCTCTAAAAAGTTCCCAGTAAAGTTTCTTTGGTTTCTGCTAGTAGAGATTGAAGCATAGAAGACACTGGTCCCAAAGAATCTTTATCTTCAAACGTTTCCAGTTTTCTTCATTACAGGGCCCGCGCCACCGGAGGGCTGGGCTGGCCGGGGTGGCCATGGCCCTCCTTTTTTTTGCAAAGGTAGTAGTTTTACAGCTGCAATAAAAGGGGTAAGAAGCTTTGGCCCCCTACATTTTTAGCCTTGGCCCCCCATTTTCAAAGTCGTGGCGTGGGCCTTGCATTTCCACTGCTCGTGAAGATGGCAATTGAAACATAGTTTTGGATGAACCCCGCCTTTAAAATTTAAAAGGCTTTAGCTTCTTTGCATGTAAGAGACAAGTTTTTGGTCAGCAACACGAAATTGGGTGCCCATATAACTATAAGAGTATATTAAAGTCTTATAAGAATATGGGTGCCCATATATTAAAGTATGTTCGTTTCATTTATCCTATGTGACTTTTCCAATGTCAGATAAGCATTATTTATTAAAAAAGCAATAATACACAGTAGTATCAGCCATAGTGCTTAAATAGGATTGAGTGAAAGCTGTTTCACATGCACCAAGCCAACTCTTCGGGGCAAATCATTCTTAATCTTTAAATATTTAAATTCTTTATACAGTTTGCTTTGCTATTCTAGTGTCTAAATTCTAGTATTCCAGCTTGCTTTGCTATCTTTTTCTCTTTTGCAACTATTCTAGTATCATTGTCTGCCATCAACCAAAATTACGTGATCATCAAAACACAAGATCTTTTTTATTTTCTGCAGAACTCGATCTAATTTAGGTTTTTGCCTTGAGGCCCTTTTTGCTTTTACGATGACTCTTTTTGCATTTTCTACCAGCTAATACGTGATTGTACTGCTGATTTTGAAGTCCAATTGCAATAGGTACTTTAAAGCAGGCCGTATTTTCACGAGAGACGCTGTATAGCAAAATATACTTAAGTGCTGCGCTTCTTCGATCTTGTTGGCCATTTATCTCTTTATTAGGTCCTTATCATCATTTGATCACCATCCAGTTTATCATGCATCTAGTATATCATGGCGGTAAAGTTTGTCTCTTTTCAGCTGCTCAACCTTCCAGCTTCAATAATAAGCATTCTAGATAAAATTTTTAAAAAAGTTGATATTCACTTTCCACAGTCATGCAAGGCTGGTAAAGGCCCTAGCTTTTCGAAAAATGTCTTTGACATTCACGGTCGCAGCCCTCTTATTGAGCAATTTCTGATGTCCAACAATCTGTCAAATGATGCTGGTGTTGGTGTTCTTGTTCGGAGAACTGAAATTGCACGGCTTCCGTCATATCCTTTCTATGTGATGTACAGTGGTGGTATTTGCTAGGCAGCTCAATTTCAGTTTCTACTTTTACGCATAAGAATTTGATTTGTTGTATTTTCCGTAAATAATAGGTAAAGATTTTGAGTATTTGGTAAAGAAGTGGTCATGCAAAGATCTTTAGTTGCAAGCTTGCCTTTTATCAGGAATGATACTTGAAACTTAAGCTACAAGTATCCCACACCCTTAACCCATTAATTTGCAACTTATTGGGTTTAGAGTTTTATGAAGCACACGTTTTTGTATGAAAGGGAATTAAACAACCTTACCAAATAAAAGGAGGTTCTTTTGGTGCTGCAGCATAGGACCCATTCCTGAAATAAGCTCAAATTTCCAGAAAGTGGTTTCCTGAAACTGAAGTGATAGACTTCTTTTGTGCCACGGCATCAGGCCCAGCTTGGGCGTCCCACTGATGTGCTATATTACCTGGTGTGTTACATATTCGTGGCTGTGTGTTAGAAAGGGTAACAAATGAAATATGTTGCTGTTATTCTGGTTTTGCTTATTTACTTTACTGCTTGCCTAAGATTCCTTTACTTTGGTAAACAATCGGCTCTGACTTATGAAGACATTATTAAAGAATCACGGACATTTGCCAGTAAACTAGAAAAGAAGTATCGCAGGTGAGTTCTTATTGTTTTACCTCAGTTATATTTAAACGAAGTTTGGTTTATATTGTTTCCCGAACTAAAAGTTTTTGGATATAACTTCCAGATTGTTTAGACACATTGGAAGATAGGCAGCAAATTTATTTATCGTTTCTTTATTCTTTCGAAACCACTTTTGCTTGGTTTATATGTACTTATAAGTGCTTGTGTTAAGCGTTCACAAGAGTTGTTGATTCTTTTCGGCAATACGCTCAAAGACTTTACCAGGGGGAATGCAAGGGTACAAACGCGCTCCTTTTCAATTATTTTTTAGGAAATCTATAAAGGCACTATATTGTTTTGAATTTCTGCACAGTCTAACTTTCGGTACTAATAATGAGAGAGCTTGGAGATCTGTGGAAATGATAGAAATGTCAACAATAGAAGATATTGTAAACACGTAAAATTTTAATGTAATAGCCTAAATTAGGATTTGATGACAAAATTGGTCGATGATATAAACACATTATTAAAATCATTAAAATTATTTTAGAAACTCAGTGTCGATTGAGTTTGTCAAAGAAAATGAGGTTGCATTCTATTGAAAGCCAAACGCAGAATGACTTAGGGTGAATAATTTTACCTTTTGTGTAAAGGTTTAAGCATCCATAGTAATTTTCAGTGCACAACTTTCACCAATTCCCTTCTTAGCATGATTGAAGAGAATGCCGCAGAAAGAGCAAAAACTCTTAAGAAGCAGAAGGAATTGCAAAGAAGATTGTCAAGGTACTCTTTTTATTTAACGATTGGCGTCTTTATCTCTGCGCGATAGCAAGTTGATGAATCTCTATTTACAGGCTCTTACTTTCGAAACAAATGACTTCAACAGGTTTCTTCATGTTTAAAACATAAGAACGGTTTGAATCTTCTCTAAGGAAAACAGCATAGTGGCTCTGAGTCTAGCTGTCAAGTTTATTGGGACCACGCAATAGATACTTATCTTTTATGCTTGTTAGCTGTTTATTTGATAAGGTCATGGTAATTCTGCAGTATAAAAATGTGCTGCTATATTAGTTGTTTACGATGAGATCAGGTCTAGGCATCAAATCTTGTTATAGTGGCCAGTTCATGTCGGATTTTGATGCAGAGTACCGATTTAGAGGGTACCTGGTTTATGCAGGGGTATGGTAAAGTAAAAGCGTGTGTACCTCTAGGCCTTGCAATCAGCTCCCAGTGTTTCAAAGGTAACGATTTTTATGCTGTACTCCTTTTCACCATTGCTTTTCTTTACGTTTCCAAGTGCTTGCTTCTATCAGGAAAATAGAAATGGATGAAAGCATCTCTTCTTATATCTCATTCACTTGCCTTGTCTTTTTCGAGTACCTCTCCAGCCCTTGAAATAATTAGCATAAAAAGTGGACCTCTAAATATCAATACATTACTTGATTTGAAGGCGCACAGCAGAGCTTATGGCAAGTCCAAACGAAGTCAAGCGAATCAGCAATTTGCTTAGATTGCACTTACTGGTGAGGGATTATTTGTTCTCTATCGTCCTATCTTATTCTCATTGCTTTCTAAAAAGTGTCTATCAGGAATTGCTATAAATATTCTGTTGGAAATAATCTTTAAAAAGCAACATCAACTGTTTTCTTAGTGATTTTGTTGCTTTGTCTGTTTTTATTTTACGCATTTTAGTTTCTTTTTGTATTCTATCGTCAGTGTCCAGTAATGAACGAGTACTGGTGAAATCCCAATACGTTTCTCTAGAATACAACGAACCGCGGCCTCGGTTTCGGGTAGGAGACAGGGTATGAGCTAAAAAAAATCTCAGGTGAAAGAAATCTCAGCCGCTCACAACAACAAATGTTTTCTTCGCGATTGAATTACCGGGTACCATTAAGCACCACATTCATCCCCACATTCATTCCCACATTCAAAAACTTGCTTGTACTGCTCGAAATGTGTCGATATGACAGTTTTTGCCTTTTTACAATTTCTGTATAATCATGTACTTATCTACATCGTTTTTCTTGCTCAAAAAGTGCTCCATGTTTTATTGACGTGTTTCAATCGTTGTTTTAGCGTGACCAAAACGATGATTATGATAGCTGGTCAGCGGATATCAAAGCAGAGCTCAGCAAAGCACTTGGTTATGACGTCATAGAATGAATATCGGCCCAGTCTCTTTTGCCCAACATTATTGCTAATTTTAATAATTAATGTATTTCATAGATGTTAGAAACACAGAGGACTATTTCTTTACCAAATAAATATCTAACGAGAGTGATTTGACGTGATATATTTTTCTATCTGATGAAGAAATGTATATAATAGATGGATGTTTGATATTTTTTCAATGTAGAAGTTACTAATTTATACAAATGATTTATCCTTACTTGAGTTTTGCATTGTATTTTTAAGTCTTGTCTGCTTGTTCGAGATCTAAACAATGCATTTCGCAGGTAGGCTGCTGATGGGTAATGGAACTGAAGCATTGCACTATAGATCTATGTATATATTGCTTTATATGCAACTCGTTTGGCCTTTCTTTTGTTGTTGTTAGTTAATCAGTCTGTGGTTTTGGTCTGTTTGTTTTCGAGACAACAAACAGATGTCTTTGATGTATGTTTCTTTGATGAAGCTAAGTCTACAAAGCTGACAGCCACAATTCTTTCGATAAAATCCGCAGAAATGCTGACCAAGGATACATGGCTGATGTTACCTCCTTTAGTAGCGGGAAAGGGGATACTCACAGGCCTACATACTTGCATAGTTTACCAACACATGAACATGGACACGAGGCTATGGTTTCCATGGAACCAAGCTTGCATGGTTAACCAGTTAACTATTCAATCAAAATATTTTAGTAGCAATTAATAGTTCAATTTCGAATCAACAAAATGCTATAAATCGGATACCTAAGCGATCCATTCTAGGTCCTCTTCCATTTATCCAGTACGACGTTGCTTAACCCACCCAGAGAACCAGCACAACAAAGTTCGCAGAGGGGACGTTTATCTACGTAGCTCGTAAAGAGTTAAAAATAGTAAATGCAGAATTATCTCCAAATTATCAATAATACTGTAAAATGCAAAGACCAATCGATGTAATGCATGCCTTCCACAGTAAAGAACCGAATAACCAAGGAAAGTCACTTGCTTCATGGTAGTAAAGACTTTTAATGAACCACCACTCATTGCAATGGCGTGTAACAGTGTTTCTGTTTTACAATAATACTGAACAATATCTATGCATAAGATTTCATTATACTTATACTATGAAACTGCTTTTTAGGCGTGAAATTGTTATATATATATTGCAAAAAAACTGATGTGGGAGTGTATGAATGCTGAGAAATGAAGCGGCCTCAGAACTAGAATAATCAATTAATCTAGAATTATTATTTAACGGTTTTTAGTTCTAACATCGCTTTTCTATCTCACTTGATAACGGGCTATACTCGAAACGTCGTTAATTATTTAAAAAAAATTTTCCTGGTACAATTTACCTACATTGATCGTTATTTAGAATAATCAATGTTGCTATTCCTTTTGAGGAAAGAGGTTTGATGTTTGTGTTTTTCCCAAAGAATCGGTTATGTTCACAAGAGAAAATTTCAGGATGGCGGAACATCTAACATATTATGAAGATCACGTTGTATGTTGCATGCTTTAAAGACACAATGTAAAGGCAGTGCGCAACTAGCCATAGACTAGAGTATTGTACTCTTCGAGTAAATGTTTGGTATTTGATATTCTTCATATGCTGTCGCCGTTGGGTCCAAGATAAACAGATCACGTGGTAAGAGTGAGGTTTTCAAAATGCATCTTACAGGCATACCCTCAGTATTGCAACAACTTCTTCATATAATCCGACGCCTTAAGTCTCAGCTGAAGTACATTATGCAACCAAGTATACAGCTTTATTTGTCTGCAACACGAGAAAGTGCAATTAACAGCATGCATCAAGTCATTAAGGCTAGAGTAATTTTACTCATTGACTCATCAAACATAAATTGTTAAACAGAATTCATTCTGTCCGTCTATGAATTTGAGAGATTTTGTGAAAGAGACCAGGTGCCTTGTCTATAGTTTCAACGACGATGCCTTTAGTTAAACAGAAATGTGAGTTTTCCATCACATTACACTATTATGGTTTTCAACATTAATTGAAAACATGAAGTGAATTTCTTTTAAAACATGCATTTTCCTGCATGAATTTTGCTATGAATGTGCTTCAGTTAGCTTATTTTCCAAATTTTAGCTAATTTTCATTTTTAAAATGAATTGAGTAATAATGAGCATGGTCAAACCCCACGTCAAATTCAGTACCGTGGTGGCTACGCCCATTTTTCGGTGAAATTATGTCTCCCACTTTTCAAAGAAGAATGCTTAGCGACGATACTGGACATATGATACATGCAAACCAATATTTAGATTGAGGCCCTCTTTTGAGGCCCTCTTTTGAAGTCCTCCACGCTATATGTTTATTATTTAGATATCAGAATCGCTTCTTTGTTTATTTTTCTAATTCATCCGATATTGAGATGATTTCTATATATTTTACTGCAATGATTCCTGCGGTGATATAAAAGCAGCGAAGGCGCTTGATGAACTCGCATGCGCAGTGAGACAAATTTTGTTTTGGCGGCCATTTTAAATAGTGAAAAAGGGAACATGCTGGACAAGTAAGGATTGATTTCGTTCACTTCTCCTTCGAATGTTGAAAAATTTGGTAAGTGACCTTATATTGTACTTTATATTAAAGATTTAATGTCTATATTGGAATTATAAGGCCGTCAAATTCCAAGCATTTACTTGCTGTGGTTGCTTGCTTTGGTACTTTTTTCTGTCCTACCGAAATTCACAAAGTAATAATTTTCTGTTTTTATAACGAATCTAGCAAGCACTTTTAGCCACACCCAGTATTATATTATAACCTTTTTGTACAAAGAAATTTTTTGGTTACTTTTTGTTTCTTGGTTTACAGAAACTGCTATGAAATATTTTAGGCCTATCTTGTCACTGTCAAGTGAATGAAAACACTGACACTTTATAACCAGTTTTAAAATAGAGAGAATGATTCAAATTTTTGTACCATTCCAAACCACACTCCTTGTACGGACAGTTACTTGTAATATTCTGCAGCACGATGTGTCCCTCCCACTTATCTTAGGCCTATAAAATACCATTGGGGTAGATTTTCTCGACGAAGGGTAGTAACTTTGCCTTATCAGGAAACAAGGTTGTCGGATGGGTTCACAAAAGAAAGGTTGCCAACTGACGCCAAAATGCGCATAAAAGGGTCAAATAAAAAGTTTCAAAAAAATACACTGCGCAAGCGTAGTATGTATTTTCATTGATGTGTCTTTTAAAAAACTCTGCAAAATCACACAAGAAACTGAGAAACTTTTCCCTTCAAAAAATTCATTTGTTAATTGTTAGGCTAACTGATTATATTTGATATTTGGATTTCCATCGTTTAGTATAGGCTAGGGGTGTCCTGGCTTGGGGCAGCCCCCTCCTATCATCAAGCATTCAGGAATTTATCGGAAATGTCGTATCTGTTCGGCAAAATAATATTTATAGCTCTTAGAAAAGCAAGAAAGTTTAAAGGAACTAATCAATATAAGAAGGAAAAAATAAACAAAAAAAGTTATCTGAAGACTTTTTACAGTCTGCCTATCCAAATCAGTACATTTTTCCTGGAAATAGCAGGCTGCCAAACAGTATTACTGAATTCTTATGCACCTTTTTGAGGCTCAAGTGTGTAAAAAACAGGCTGCGATCAACAATGAGCCAAACGAGGTTAAACAAATGCTGGGCTTGACTTATTCGACACTCAGTTATGATGAAGTGACTGTCAAGTTTGCTGACACACCATTGCTAAGGAGAATTCTAATGCACTAAAAATCGTCCGGTTTGCTTCTTTAGATAATTTAGATATTAATTGCCAGTCCTATTGCAACTTTAGCTGTTCATCATAGATACTGATTACTGATGACTACGATTATCCAATGTTCGACTACGGATGCTGGTTTTTCTTTGCTCGCCTAACTAAAATCAGTAAATTTAATGCTGTAAGAGATACATATTTTGTCATGTATTTAAATAACTGCGCCTGCGCTCGATGACGTCATAATTTCAAATTAAACCCGTTTTCGAAACAATTTCAAGCTGTGCCCCTTCTAAGAGTCACTACCCACGACGTCCCTGAGTATTGTTGTTTATACTTGCAATACGTTTCAGACGCGGATCCAGAGTGGTGCACAGAACTCAGTCAGTTTTCCAACATATAGCTAAAAATAGTGTTGCCTGAAATAAGTAATATTTAGGCTAGAAATACCTAGAAATTGTAAGTTTTATCGCAGTCTCTTCAAAATCTTAAAATTGCCAGATTGATGTGATTCGTTCGCCCTTTTCCTTCTTTCTTCTCTGTCGTGATTTTGAAACGATTTTCCAGACGCTGTGGAGGACAACAGCAGTCAATCCTAGAACCTGGAAAAAAACGTTTTGTGCCTCGGAAGTGAATGAATTGAAACAATGAAATTTTTGTTTGCAACATGGATAGAACTCAGTCAAAACAGCATCTGGAACTCGGAAATTATACTATATTTGTAAGAGAGCTGTACAATAGCCAGTAGTTGATTGGCTACCTATTGTTTCTAATCAGTTGTAGAACTGCAAAACTTTGAATTCGAGATGACGACTGCAGATGTTATATTTTCACGACCATCGCAGCATTCTAGCAGATTATTAAGCGTTTGAGATAAAACCATTTCGTTAATTTAATTTTCCAGGAGTATTAACTACCTTTATTTTAAATTACAGTCGTTGATGGCAAGAGAGACCTATGGTCAGACAGAACACCATATTTTGAATATGCTGGTGTCTCCGTGGGCAAAACAACAAAGTGCGAGTAAAACAAAAGGGAAAACTTAATTCCGGCCACCAGAAATTTTGCAAGAAGATTTGTTTAGGACATGCTTGTTAGAATTATTCTTACGAAAAACATAGGGGAATTGTAACATTGTATTAAAATCTTTTCAAATCTTTTATCATGCAAGCAGTTACTTTCCCACATTCAATTAAAGTTGCTAAAAAGGAGTAAGACCAAAAAATGAAAATTTGCAACATCCAGGTTGAATTTTAATGATATGAAAATGCTCTAATGAAAAGGGAAAGACATTAATTCTCAAGCATTATGTGTGCACTTGATGAACAATCTCGGAAAGGCGACGAGAAAAAAGTTGAAACTAATAAGGGAGTATTTTTTTACATTCAGTTCTTTCCCCTATATGAAAGTTGCTGGTTGATAAGAAAGTTATCCAGAACATCAGCTAATGTGAAACCAAGCATTAATGTTATGGAATTCCCTATTTTTGTTAGATGAATCTTTTA